TCAACCTGTGGTTCAATCCAAAGTCAATGGCTCTGCTGCACCCTAGACCCAACCCTTCATCTCTGGCCTTGTTCATCTCTGTACCTTGTAATCTTGGTCACTTTGTCTAATGAGTTCTTCCCCTCAGTCAACATAAGAGTTCAATCCTCTTACACAACTTGAAACCCTCTGTTTCACATGCAAACATCCAGAAAAGGGTAGTTACTACTTACCTTCCGTTCACTACTTATCCCACTGCATACGGGTTTTGCCTTCAACACTCTACTGAAATATCTAACTCCTTATCTTACTTCAACTCCGTGCTATATTTTAGTCTGTTGATTTCACTTTCCTCATAGAAACACTCAGTTCTATGACAACTGAAAGCCCTCAAAGGATGCTGAGTAAAGAAACAGTGTTAAACGTGTCCCAGAAGACAAGTGACATGACTTAGTTGTAGCACTAAAACTACAAAGAAGACCTGTAGGGAAGAGTTGTATGTATGGTTTTGCAACTTGCTTTATTTTCAGTTAATCATCTATCATATGTACATAGACACCCATAAAAAAGGAAAAACCAGCAAAATATTCATGACAATAGCTCTGGACTACAAGATATTTTTATTTTCTTACTTTGGCTTATCCTTATTTTTAAAATTTTTATATAATGAACATATAATAATAATAACTTTGGGGAGTCTTAATTATATGCTAGATACTAGGTTAAATACTCCATATGAATTATCTAATTCTCAACACTTTTATTCCCATTTCATAATGAAGAAATTAATACTTAACACAGTTAGGTAAATTGCCCAAGGTCATGTAAACTACTTGTGCAATAAACATTAAAGAATAACAGTTAGGGACTTTTTCTCCTACCAAATTGGCAGATGAAGAATACTCACCGCTATTAAATGTTGGGTAAGACAACAGCACGACCTTAAGCAAGTTACTTAATCTTTTTGAGGGTCTCCCTCATCTTAAAATGTACCTAGCCAGTACCTGATAATAAATAATAGTTACTACCAGTAGAAAACTGAAAACAATCCAGATCTCCAGTAATAAGTGAACTGTCACAAAATTTATGATAAATTCATATATTATTATTTTTAAATTTTTATTTATTTGAGAGAGAGAGAGCAGGGGGAGGAGCAGAGGGAGAGGGAAAGGGAGACAATCTCTAGCAGACTCCAAGCTGAGTGTGGAGCCCAAGGCAGAGCTTGATCCCAGGACCCCGAGATCATGACCTGAGTGGAAACCAAGAGTTGGATGCCCAACTGACTGAGCCACCCGGGTACCCCTTATAAATGTTTTTATGAAGCCATTAACAGTCATGTTTTTTGAACAATATTTAATCAGGAAAATGATTTCCATATTTACCTTTGAATGCTGTGCTCACATTTCCAACTACCTCCCTGACTGCTTCATCTGTCTTATAAGCATCTTAAACATACCACCAGAAGCAAATTCATTTTCTATGCCTATCCCCACAAAGTCGGACTCGCCACACCATCCTCACCATCACCCCTTGCCCCCATATCCAGTCCATCTCCAAGGCCTGCTGGTATTACCTCCCAAATTTATCTTGAGTCTACTCACTTTTCCTTCCATTCTCATTGTCCTTGAGTTAGTCCTACTTGAACTGTTGAAACAGTCTGCTGATTCTCTCTCCACTCCAAGAGTAGATTCTTCAACCTACAACCAGATTAATCTTCAAAAATTCACAACTTGGGGCACCTGGGTGGCTCAGTCGTTAAGCATCTGCCTTTAGCTCAGGTCATGATCCCAGGGTCCTGGGATCCAGCCCCCGCATCGGGCTCCCTGCTCTGCTCAGTGGGAAGCCTGCTTCTCCCTCTCCCCCTCCCCCTGCTTGTGTTCCCACTCTCGCACTGTCTCTCTCTGTCAAATAAATAAATAAAATCTTAAAAAAAAAATTTCACAACTTGATTATATCTTTCCTGTACTTAAACCTCTTTTGGCTTCTCATTACTGTTAAATAAAATATAAACCCTTAGGCATGGCCCCCAAACTCTGCATACTTTCACTTCTCTACTCTCCTGCCTACTCATGTGGACACCAGGTCAAGCTTAACAATTCTATTCCCTTCCCTACACACACACTCCTGCCAAGCCAATATCCTGTAATGTTAGCCAAATATTTATTTGAGGGAGGTGAAGAGAATTTTCTTTTAGAAACAGATTCATTTACCAGTTCACATCATTTAGCCAGAGTAGAATCACATTTCTAAAATAATTTGGTAAAAAATTTCTCTGTGATCCTTTTTTTTTTAAAGAGAGAGAGAGAGCGTGGGCATGCGTGCAAGCAGGGATGGGGGTGAACGGGAGAGGGAGAGAGAATCTTGAGCAGACTCCCTGCTGAGGGTGAAGCCTGACTTGGGGTTCAATTTCAAGGCCCTGATATCACATTCTGAGATCACAACCTGAGCCAAAATCAGGAGCTGGTCGCTTAACCAACTGCGCCGCCCAGAAGCCCTACTTCTCTGATTCTTACTCTCTCCTCAGTAATGAGGATGTGTGTGAGATTTTCTTACAACAGAAAAACATTGGGAAGCATATTAAAGGGTTTTTAAATAACAAAATACTTGGGTCCTGGGGCGCCAGATAAATAAAATCTTAAAAAAAATAAAAACAAACAAACAAAATACTTGTGTCCTGAAAACTGTATCTCTATGCCACGTACTATTCCTTGAAATTCTGAAGAATTTCAATTGACTGGAACTGTATGACATGTAACCTAAATATTGCACTCAACAGACTACAGAGGAGTGTTATTTGCCCTGGCGGCTGTAGTCCTTTTTGGTGGGATTACATTTCAACCTGAGTTAACTGGAATTTTTTTTTTTTTTAAGATTTTATTTATTGGGGCACCTGTGTGGCTCAGTCATTAAGCATCTGCCTTCGGCTCAGGTCTTGGTTCCAGAGTCCTGGAATTGAGCCCCGCATCGGGCTCCCTGCTCAGCGGGAAGCCTGCTTCTCCCTCTCCCGCTCCCCCTGCTTGTGTTCCCTCTCTCGCTGTGTCTCTCTCTGTCAAATAAATAAAATCTTAAAAAAAAAAAAAGATTTTATTTATTTATTTGACAGAAAGACACAGCGAGAGAGGGAACACAAGCAGGGGGAGCAGGGGAGGGAGAAGCAGGCTTCCTGCCGAGCAGGGAGCCCGATGCGGGGTTTGATCCCAGGACCCTGGGACCATGACCTGAGCCGAAGGCAGACGCCTAATGACTGAGCCACCCAGGCGCCCCTGGAATATTTTCTGATATACTTTTGTGTCGCACAAAGACTTACATTCTGGACAACTCCCAGATCATTTACTCCTAAATCTAGCTTTGCTCCAGCCTCACTCCTTGCCATTTTCCTTATTCTCTGTTATCTGGCAATTCTGTTCTCATCTTTAGACTTCCAAAAAATATTAGGTTCCCACCTGCTTCCAGGCCTTTGCACATGCTGTATACTCAGCCAAGAGAGCTCATCCTCTTCCCTTCAACTTCACCTAGGAAATACCTACACTCTCTGCTCCTCAGCTCAAAGGTCCCTTTCTCAATAGAGCTCACGGTTTCTGCACTTTGCTTTCTCGGCATTTCTTAGAACGTGCACTCACACAGACACACACACACACCACACACACACACACACACAATTTGCGTAAGTACTTGATTAATATTTGTGTTCCCCACTAGATTGCATGCTCCATTAAGTTAGGACCTATCATTTTTTTTAATAAGATTTTATTTATTTGCGAGAGAGAATGAGAGACAGAGAGCATGAGAGGGAGGAGGGTCAGAGGGAGAAGCAGACTCCCTGCTGAGCAGGGAGCCCGATGTGGGACTCGATCCCAGGACTCCAGGATCATGACCTGAGCCGAAGGCAGTCACTTAATCAACTGAGCCACCCAGGCGCCCAGGACCTATCATTTTTAAAACCAGTCTACAAAGCAGCTAACCTGGCAAATGATTATACAACGATTTAAAGCAGCAATTAATGTATAAACAGTACTTTAAACAGTGGGATACAAAACTGTTTACCCAATGATACCAATTTGGAGGAAAATGAGTATGCACAGAAAAAAGAACAAAGAAATACACCAATAAAGACGGAGGAAAAAATAAGTACATTTGTATTTGTTTAAAAAAAAACAACAACACTAGGGGCGCCTGGGTGGCTCAGTCTTTAAGCATCTGCCTTCAGCTCAGGTCATGGTCCCAGGGTCCTGGGATAGAGGCCCACATCAAGCTCCCTGCTCAGAGGGAAGCCTGCTCCTCCCTCTCCTGCTCCCCCTGCTTGTGTTCCCTCTCTCACTGTCAAAATAAATAAAATATTTTAAAAAAACAAACAAAAACACCAGTTGGTTAAGTGTCTGCCTTAAGCTCAGATCATGATCCCAGAGTCCTGGGATCGATCCCCATGTTGGGCTCCCGGCTCAGCCAGGAGTCTGCTTGTCCCTCTTCGTCTGCCTACTGGTGCTCTCTGTGTGTGTCTCTCAAATAAATAAAACCTTAAAAAAAAAAAAAAACCCACTAAAAATAAATAAATTATTTTTTAATAATAAACTGGGATTTCTCCTTGGCGGGGTCGTCTCCCGTGGGAGACGTCTCCCAATAAACTAAGTGGTAACCTGTAGAATGGTAGGGAGCAAGAACTTTCTGATGTATACTTTAAAAAAAAAATCTCACTTTGACTTCTGAACCACTAGGATGTATTACCAAATCAAAAATATTAAAATGTTTGCAAGACAGAAAACGCACTAAAACTTTAATAGTGATTATCCCGGAAGAGTGGGATAAAGATTTTGTTTTCCATTTCTATAAATACGTTCACTAAATCTTATACGTGAATATGAATAACTTTCATGACCAGAAAAAGGATGTACTTTTTAGAAAAGATCTTTGGGGACCTCGGAGGGCAGTCCCCTGGGGTCGGGAAAGAGAAGCTGGAATGGGAAGGCTCCCGCTACAAAGATGACGGGATGAGTTTGTTTTCCAGATCGGAGAGACCTGAGCGCAACACGTTTGTGAGCTACGAGCAAAGAACAACGAGAAAGGGAGAAAGTTAAAAATGTGAAAAGAGGATGGAGCCGAGGAGCCGGGTCGAAGCGACCTCAGTCCCGTGAGGCCATCCGCCGGTCAGGGAGCTCTGGCTCTGCCAAGACTGTCTCGGAAGTACAAGGGAAAAGAAGGTAAAATGGAGTGACGTTTGTGGCGGCGGCTACGCAGCGAAGAAACCTGGAAAAGAAAGAAACCGTTTGACGCCCGAACTGAGCTACGGAGCCCCAGCCGAAGCGAAAGAGCGGAAACACCGTCCAATCCGGCCCTTTCCTAAGCCCCTCCCCTCGCCTGGGCGTGCGGCGGAAAGACGCGCACAGGAAGGGGCGGAGCTATGAACACTAAGAGTGCGCGGACGGATCTCGCGAGAACAGTGGGGGGCGGAAGCACAATCAGTGCAGGATGCGGTTCCTGGTTGCGTTGGTCTTGCTGAGCGTCGCAGCGGCGGGTAAGGCCCCTCCCCACCCCCAATAATCCTGCTGTCACCCTCAAGCCCACCGTCCTCACCGCGGCCGGGTCGCTCTCTGAACTCGTTTCTTCCCTGCCATAGCCACCCCTCCGCTTGCCATCACTCACCTCCCCCGTTCGCTTGTTGCCTCGGTCTCTTCTAGCTCTGAGGGCTCCCTTCTCCTGGCCATCCTTTCTTCAGTACCAACTGGTTTCTCTATTTCAGTGATCCAATCACAAGAACAGTCTGGCACGTTAAAGCCGCAGCCCACGGGAGACGACCCCGCCAAGGAGAAGGCCCAGTCGCAGCCCACGGGAGACGACCCCGCCAAGGAGAAATCCCAGCCGCAGCCCACGGGAGACGACCCCGCCAAGGAGAAGGCCCAGTCGCAGCCCACGGGAGACGACCCCGCCAAGGAGAAGGCCCAGTCGCAGCCCACGGGAGACGACCCCGCCAAGGAGAAATCCCAGCCGCAGCCCACGGGAGACGACCCCGCCAAGGAGAAGGCCCAGTCGCAGCCCACGGGAGACGACCCCGCCAAGGAGAAATCCCAGCCGCAGCCCACGGGAGACGACCCCGCCAAGGAGAAGGCCCAGTCGCAGCCCACGGGAGACGACCCCGCCAAGGAGAAGGCCCAGTCGCAGCCCACGGGAGACGACCCCGCCAAGGAGAAATCCCAGCCGCAGCCCACGGGAGACGACCCCGCCAAGGAGAAGGCCCAGCCGCAGCCCACGGGAGACGACCCCGCCAAGGAGAAGGCCCAGCCGCAGCCCACGGGAGACGACCCCGCCAAGGAGAAGGCCCAGCCGCAGCCCACGGGAGACGACCCCGCCAAGGAGAAGGCCGAGCCACAGTCCCGGGGAAAAGGCGCTGACAAGGAGAAATCCCGGCCACAGTCCACGGGAGAAGGCGCTGACAAGGAGAAATCCCGGCCGCAGTCCACGGGAGATGGCCCTGACAGGGAGAAGCTCAAGCCGCAGTCCAAGGGAGAAGGCCCTGACAAGCTGGTCTCCAACCCCTCCTCTGATAACAAGGAGCCCACCAAGCCTGACTTAAACATACCAGCTGACAAAGATGCCTCTCTGCATGCTTTTAGAAGTGAATCTGGGGACAGAGTATTACTAGACTCGAAACCCACTTCTCCACAGCAGGAGAGAGAAGGCAAGTCTTCAGAGCTTACAGATGTGGAGCCCAAGAAGGCCAAGGAAGGGGATACAGAGCCTGAAGAAGATTCACCATCCAAAGGAGAGAAAGAAATGCCTGGCCTTGCCTCCAGTGAGAACCGTGAAGGGACACTTTTGGATTCCATGGGTAGAGGGAATGGTGACCCTTTTAAGGACAATCTTGGAAGTGCTGGTGCAGAGAGCAGCCACTTCTTTGCCTATCTGGTGACTGCAGCCATTCTTGTTGCTGTCCTCTACATTGCCTATCACAACAAACGGAAGGTAAGTCAAGAATTGCCTTAAGAAGAGGAATGGGATTTCCTCCACCCTGAAAGCTTGGTGTGTGGGCCAGTATCTCTCACTCATCTGCCTGTGAGCACTGGGGATTTTTAGACAGATTTCAGTTTTTCCTCAGATTCTGCTAGGGCTCTTTACTCTCATTTTATAAATCATCTTCTTCCATGTCAGATTCCTTTGAGTACCCTCTGCTGCTGCATTAGGTGCCAAGTGAGGACATTATTATGATCTGACCTAAATTGGGGTCTCCTCCCATAATCTTAAACTTAGATCGTTTACTGCCTCAGAGAACCTGAGTACCTGACAGTTTGTAAGTAGAGTACTTATCTTCCTGTTTCCACTCTGAAGATTGTGCATCATCTCTAGTTTCTTTTCCCAAGCTTTTATCTTCCATCTGCAATGGCAGAAAGAGTGGTTACATAGTCTTTGACATCAACAGCAGAGAGCCCAGAAACTATCTTCTACAATCAGTTGAGTTTCTGATTAGAAGAATGGCCAGAAATTGCATGGATACACTCATCTTATAGCAGGGTTTGGTGTGGAGTAGTGTCTGTGTTGCTTAGCAACCACTCTGATGACAAAATGATTGCATTTCTTATTGAGCCCTAAGAATTTAGTAGTTTCTATAGCCTGGTTAAAATTGGAGAGTTCAATTCATGATGTCAGTATGCCTGTGGCTGTGAGGAATGAGGGAAGACATTTAATAAGAATGGTGTGTTCCTTATTCTACATCCAAGTGCTCATCACACAGGAACCTCAGATGTGAAAGTGGTAAGGTTAAAATGAAACAAGGTGTGGGGAGAAAAAGTACATTTGCAGATAAGAAATAATTATTGCTTCTAAGTAAAAAAGGAGTGTCTTATCCTAGAGCTGTCTGGGGCGCAGTTGGCAGATCTTTGTGCTCTTGAGTAAATCACACAGACTCCCGCAAGCTAAAGCCCAGAACAGTCTTCCTTCATCTGTCATTTCCTGTTTGGCAGTATAAAAGATTCTGATGTAACTGGAGGCCCTGTCCTCCTGAAAACTTATAATTTAAAGAGGCCTCTTTGTGGTTGTACTGCTCTTTCACTGTCAGGGTCATTAACAAATGTACTACTAGGTGGTGACCGCTGATTTTAGAGACTGAAATATGCTATTGTAGAATCACCTGTTAATTTCTTTTTCCTTTCCCCAGATTATTGCTTTTGTCCTAGAAGGAAAAAGATCTAAAGTCATTCGGCGCCCAAAGGCCAGTGATTACCAGCGTTTGGACCAGAAGGTAAGGAAGGGAGCCCCAGGTGTGCGGGAGGGATATGCAGTCTCAGGTCCAGCAGTGCGCTTGCATTTGACAAAGAGGCAGCAGCTGATTCTGGGGTGCTGCCGCCATTGCCCCGCCCTTTGCGGACCACAAAGCAGAGACATCCATTATATACATGTCTGCAACATGAGAGCTAGAAGAGGCCTTCATGTGTTCTACATCAGCTCCCTCCCTCAACAGATGAGGAAAGTCAGGCCCAGAAACATGCTTTTTCCCCCCGAAGTTCCTACTACGAGTTTGTGGCAAAATCAAGACCTGATGGCAAGTCCCTAGGCACCTGTCTTGTGTTTTTTGCACTGAACCAGCACTTCACAAATTTTAGTAGGCACATTAACCACCCTGGGAATTGTGATGAAAAAGCAAAATCTGAATCATTACATGTTGGTTGGAATCTATGTTTCTACATTTCTAGGAAGTTCCTAGGTGATGCCAAATGCTGAGGAATGATGCGTCAGGTAGCGAAGCATTAGACTACACTCCCTGCATACAAATAAGTCCAGAAACATAAAGGCCTCCAACTCCCCAGATCAGCCCATAGCACCATGGACTAGGTTTCTTGAGTGCGGCCGACCCAGGCCTGCCAGAAAGCAGAGGCTTCCTTCCGCCCCACAGTGCAGGAGCTGAGCAAGACTCCCCAAAGGCAGCCTGTCTGAGTGGGAACAGGGTACTTCCACTGCCTTTTGCTGCCAGCATGCACCCTCCTTTCCCCTTCTGTGTGGGGACAGTCAGGACATTGGTAAAAAGTGGTTGGTGGCCTGACTGTGAGTTATTCCAAGACTTCTACAGGGAACACAGTTCACGTGTACAGTTCATGCCAGCAACAGAATAAGCCCCTCTGAACACCTTTGCTAACTAGCCCAGTAGGTCAGCTTCACAATTTAGCCCTGGCCTAGTACCTTTCCAGATAATTGACTTTAAGCATTTATTTTCCTTTCATTTTTTTTCTAATTAAAAAATGCACATGTAAACAATTAAAAACAATACAGAATGGTACAAAGCAGAAGCCAAGATTCCTATATTCCTTCCACCAAGTGTGCATCATTCTAGTGTATGTTTGATTTCAAACTGACTTTTTTTTTTTAAAGATTTTTATTTATTTGAGACAGAGCATGAGCAGGGGGAAGAGGGCAGAGGGAGAGGGAGAAGCAGGCTTCACACTGAGCAGGGAGCCTGATGCAGGGCTGGATCCCAGGGTCTCAGGCAGACGCTTAACCAACTGAGCCACCCAGGCGTCCCGATAAGATCTTTTTTCCCCTAAGATCATAGCATTGAGGTGTATTGCTCTGGAAGGAGATTAATGTTACCAATGAATTGTGTTGCTCTTGTTTCAGATTTGATTTTTCCATTCTTGAGAACTTTGTCCTCCCTGCTGATTTGTTTTTAAATCAAGAGAAATGAAGAAAAGAAGTACTGTGACCTAAGAGACACCCCCTCCTCTAGGATTTGGTGGCAAGTCTGGGCAGGCATAGGCGGGGGGATTGCTTTGATTTTTGCACCTGCACTTTGGTGACCTTGTACGCCTGTGTCCCCGTTATCTCTCCTGGTGTCTTCTATCCTTTCCTCCTCTGACTGTGAATAGAGAGAGCATGTGGGAAGCCAGCTGTGACCAAAGGGAGATCTCAGCCCCAGGCAGGCTACTGCTGCTGACTGCCTTCCCTTGGGCATTGGCCATTTAGTAGTTATCCCTTGAAAAGAGCATTGTCCCACCACTATTTATCTTTGTAGACCTAGGAAAACTCTCTGCAGGATGAGGTGTTCTTGTACCAAGGCCTCTTACTTTGGGGGGATGTGCCCTTTACAAAAGATGAAGAGGTGAATGCTGACGGGCACAGGGCTACTTTAACACATAACTCTCTTCAGAGGCTCCAGCAGCAAACCAAAACAGCTTTTAAAAAGTGCTTTATTGCCTGTGAGTCCAACCTGTCTAGCATAAGTCCTTCACATTTTTCCGATATTTTCATATTAAGACAAAGTCAATTTCCATTTGGTTGTCCTGACTGAACTTGGGGATTCTGGGAGTAAAGCTGTAAAGCCATGGTTCCCATTATAGATTTTTTAAAAATACAGTTATGATTATTGAAATACTTTGTTCTTCTATACTCATAATTGTAACAAACTTTTTAAAATAGGGTAAGCTCAGGCTTCGCATAAGATGTGCAGGACGGTTTTTGGTTTTGATCTGCATTATTTCAAAGGGCTTTTATGGAAGGTTTCCCACAAACTCTGCATTGCCTTTGTTGCCTAAAATAGACAAAATAGACTTGTAATCAGAAACGAACTGTACTCTCTTTTACCTTAATCTAGTAAATGGTTCTCTCATCCAATATAAAATGCCAAGGGTAATTAGTAAAAATTCTCTTCCCACCCCATGTCAGACGTTATTAAAATTTAAGAAATTCAGGGGTAGCTGAGGTAGTGTCTTGGATCCTGCTGTGGCTTGAAGTTTTCCTTAAATCTGCTCTAGTTGTGCTACCCTATTATAGCCTAGAGAGAGTTGTTTCTGCAAAGAAAAAATGGAAATCAAATAGCTGATCTCAGGGAAAAACAAAGAATGTGGGAAGTGAGGGCAGTGGGATGAATTCTGTGCTGTTGAGGAAGCCATTCTGTAGAAGGGACCAGCCTGTTGTCACATTATCTTGCACCTTGCTTAAAACAGAGCATGGCTTTGACTTGAGATTTATGGAGATAAGGAATGAATGAATGCTCTTGGCATCATTCTCTCTACCTGTGCACCAACCTCATAATGCTTTCCTCTATCTAGGGAATTTTCTCTCAGGCTCTCCTAGCATTCCATAAAATCACGGTTCCCCTGTCTACCTCTCATGGCTTAGAGAATCAAGCTTTTATAGACTCCAGCGTTCAGGCCTCTGTAGATCTGCGTCCTATCCAGGCCAGAGGCTCCTCTTGTCAGGCCCATCTAGGCTTCCGTGCCTTTTTGTTCTTGCTGTGTCCTCCATTCCCTGGCTTCCCATGACTGTTCTTTGGTTAGAGTACACTCCCTTCTCTTCTCTCCCGTTTCCCCCAAATGTTCCTTCAGGGCCCAGCTCAGGTTTTTCCAGGCACCTTCTTCACTGCCCCCACCACACAGGGTTGGCTCTTTCCATTCTACTCTTTTTTTTTTTTTTTTTTTAAAGATTTTATTTATTCACTTGAGACACAGAGATACAGAGAAAGAGAGAGAAAGCATGAGCAGGGAGAGAGGCAGAGGGAGAGGGAAAAGCAGGCTTCTCGCTGAGCCAGGAGCCCAACGTGGGGCTCGATCCCAGGACCCTGGGATCATGACCTGAGCCGAAGGCAGACGCCCAACCATCTGAGCCACCCAGGCGCCCCTCCATTCTACTCTTTAACTTAATAATGCCAGTCACAAATTTTGCAACTCCAGCAAGAAAAAAAGGGGGGCAGACATCTGATGTCTCTATCTGGTCTCTTCCCCCAAAAACTAAGCTGCTTACAGGAGTGCCCTTGGCACCATCTGTGTATCTGCCTACAGTATAGTGACATTCCTTAGGTACTTCAGGAGTTCAGTGTCAAGGAGACATTTTCTTTGTTCAGGACATAGGAATGTGACTTAGGTGTCTCACACAGCTCTTCCTGGCTACTGGTTGCTGTCCCTTTTTGATGGATTTTGCTTGTAGGGAGGAGAGCAGAAAGGTTGGTTTCAGGAACCAAGAGGGTGGTTTGCATCAAGTGGATGCAAAATAAGTATTCTGTGGAGTCCACATAGTTCCATTTTTTGAGCATCCGAGAAGTATTGTATCTTGTGCTAAAGAAGTATGATAGAATTTAAGTTTCGCTTTAGAAATTACACTGAAGGAAATCTCTCACACCAGTGGAAAACTTGTTTTCTCCGTAGTGTCCTTTTGAAGATAAACTATTGGAAGCCGGTTTTCTAGAGATGATGTGGAGGAGGATGAGCTGGCTAAGGCATCTCTTGGTGGGGGGTGGGGGGGTGGGGGGGGCAGGTAAGCACATGGAGCCATGAGAGGCACCCCTATCCAGACAGCTATGTGCTTGCTTTCCTGCCCCAGCTTTTGGTTGCAGGGTGATTTCTATTAGGAGGAATCGATGCTTTAGTCATGGATGTCCATAGAGGGGTTTGTTTCTCCTCTGCAAAGAAAAAATGGAAATCGAATAGCTGATCTCAGATTACTGAGTAGAAGAATTATTTAAAGAATCCACTTCTGGACTCTGTGGGGAGTGAAGGCCAGTTTATCTAGAAAGGCTGTAACAACTCAGAAAGACCTGACAATCAGCTATATGTATATGCTGACATTTCTTTTCCCATGATGGCTTTTAATGAAACATTTGGTGATAGAATTATAAACCTCTATAATTCCCCTGATGGTGATTCTCATTTTTTTCTCTACTTCATGTCATTTAAATCAAAAAAAGGAAGCCTGCTCCTTGTTTTTACAGGGTAACATGATACATAATGCTGTTATTTATATGTGGTGAAAGCTAGCACGCTTTGCACATGTTCTGAATCATTTGAACAGGGAGGAGAGTATTTTAGACACCAGACACCAGACCCTATAGTTCGGCCAGCTGTTTTCTGAAAAATCTTGCTGGGAAGGTTGCCTTTGACACTGCCTTGTTTAAGGAAGAGGGTTGGGAAGAGATTTTTAGGTTCCATTTAACTGTTCATCCAGAGAAGGACTGAATCTCAATTCAGCTAGTCCCACAAGTCTCATGTCAATTTCCTAAATGTCCCAGTTGAGAAACTCCTCTGTAACGGTGTTGGGTCTGAGCTGTGTAGTTTCAGGCTGCCAACAAAGCCAGCCTCTTCACACTCGTAGATATTCCTTTAATTCAGAAGTTTCTCATGTTAATAAATGATTGTTGAATGTGTTTCCCTTTTTGGTTTACCCAATTAGTAGAGTGCCACTGTTTTTGCAATGTTTTATATTTTCAGCTTTAACTTAACTACATAATTATTACTTTTATTTTTTTAAAGCTTATTTGGTCTAATGATAAGTATTTTTCAGTACATAATGTTTTACTGAGCTTCTTTGAATGCTATTTCAATGTAGTTTTGTATCATTGCAAAGAAACCAAAATAAATTTCAAATATTAAAGCTATAAAATGATTAAATTTATTAAAATGGTAATAAGATTGACAGAAATAAGGTCTAATATAAGTGAAAAAGCCTTTGTTCACCTTCCCATCTAATCCCTACATATGTACCAATAAACAGGAACCCCATCCCAGGCCTCTGCACACATTCTGTAGCTTTCCACATTCTGATCCTGATTTCCAGCCCCACTCCTTCCTACCTCTGGGTCTAAGGAGGTAGCTGGCTGATGGCTGATTTGTCTTCCAGTTACCTCTGTGATTGTCCTCTGCTATACCCTTGGCCAGGAATGCTCTTTCAGCCTGCTTCAACCCCAATGAAGTCATCTTTTCAGTCCTGTGCCTCAACTGCTAATGTCACCCTTTGCTGTGGATTTTGGGAAGATAAACCTTGAGGCTCAGTACTGAGCTCCATGAGGGTGTCTTGGTGCTGGCCCACTGAAGACCCAGCGTCACCTTGGAAATAAGGAAGACCAACCTAGGGCCTGTCTGTATATGAATTGGATATTCTAACATATACTTGGCTGACTAATGTCTTCAGTCAGTCACACTGAGCCTATCATAGGCATTTCCCCACCCTCTGAAAGAGCCCTTGGAACCAACAAAAGTGGGATCTGGGGGCCTCTGACCCTATGGGACTACAAGCAAAACCATGCCCAGGTTTTGACTAAACCTCTTCAGGCACCCTTTACCCTCAGTAGCGTGGAGCTGCTGCAGCACCGCGTGGAGAATGGAAGAGGAGAAGCCTCGAGACGGCCGGACCGAGCTGCTGCAGCTGGCCAGCACTGAAGGTTCCGGCCATCTGACCAAAAGGATACTTGACTTCTGACTGCTCAGAGGTGGGAGGTGTGGGAGTGTGTATGCAAAGCACTGCTTGACAAGACAGGCTGTCCAAGTCACTGGCCCACACCGGGCCTTTTAGCAGGGACAACACGTTAGAGGTCTGAGAGCTCACCACCTGCCCAGCTGGAAGAGCTGCAGCTTGAGAACTGTGATCTAAGGACTGTGACCTGTGTGTCAGACCTCTAGTCAGAAATCAGAAACAAATTAGAGTGCTTTATGTGAGGAGGGAACCGGTACAGAAAGACATAGCTAAATCAAGGGCTGTGCCAGAGATCCGGCGGGATTCCTCAAACTCATTGCTTACTGAACTAACTCTTCTTCTTCTGTGCCTGGATCCTTGAGTAAAGCTTCTTAAGGTCTAAGTACAAGTTCCGGTTCAGGATGGCGCTGCTGCACAGCATGGCCCCTTGCAAGGCCCCCATCAACCCACAGGTGAAGATATCCTGGCCTAGGAGACGAGCAGAGGCCCATGAGTATCCTTCCACGGGGGGTGGGGGGCAAGGGCTCCTCATGTTCATCCCTCCAGGCTAGGCCACCCAGAGATGACTTTAGATCGGGACCAGGGGCCACAGTCTGCTGGGGCAGCCCATCCCCATGTGGAAGGCTGCAGGGGACAGTAGGACCTGAGGACAGAACAGAGTACTTGGGGTGACAGGGAAGCCCAGGGTCTCAGGCCCTGGAGAAATGGGGCAGTCTGTGTACCTGTCAGGTAGAGGTTGGGAATGGGGCTTTGGGCCCTCATGGAGGCTATCACGTGAGGATGTAGGCGGTCCAGGTCGTGGTCCGCCCCGTAGCAGGCACCCCGGGGAGCAGCCAGGTAGAACTGGTAGGTCAGTGGGGACCCTCTGGCCACACTGTCCACCTGAGGAGACAAAAAAGGCAGCCAAAGGGTGGGCGCGGGGCCTTGTGAGATCCTCCTGTCCTCCCTTTTCTGCTCTCCCTGACTGAGCTGTCTGCCGGCATGGGTTCCCTGCCCTTCCCTGAGCTTCGCTGTCTCCGGGCTTTATTTCCCTCCCCCAAAGACAAGGAAATGTCACCAAGAGGTTTGTTGCCACTAGCACACAGTCTACCCGCCTACCTTCCCCTGTAGCTGGGGGAACAGCCTCGTGACAACCGACAGGGAGGCTTCGACAAAGAAGTTTTTGAGGGTCTCATAGTCGCTGCTCCGCCTCCCTGTCGCTTCCTCCTGCCACTCTTCAAACCACTCATAGCAGGTGGACATCAGCACGATCACTGTGGACTGGTCTGGGGACACAGAGCCAGGGTCACTCCTGCCAGGCCCCTTCCCTGTTCCCGCTCCCACCCCCCAGGACCCAAAGCCCCACCTGGGAACCGGTCCTCCCAAGTGGGATCCTTGGCTGATGAGGAAGTGATGAAGAGGAAGGGCACGTGTGCTGCAGCCTTTTCGCTGGGCAGCGAGAGGTAGTGTTCCATCCTGGGGGCGAGGAGCGTGGCTGCCGACCCCCAGGCCTCGCTGTCACCGGCACTGCCTGGAGGACAGGTCGCCCCCAGGGACACCCCCCTCGCCCCCCCGCCCAGGGATGAAGCTAAGGCCTAGTCCATATCCTGCTGCTGACTGTCCAGCGTCAAGGGAGGGAGCAAGAGCCCTGTGGGCTGTGGGCCCGTGCTGACGCCCTGTCCCCCCATGGGCACACACGCCTTACGCTTTGTCGAGGTCCGTGTCGAAGTAGACAAAGTAGTTGGTGGACTGCAGACCCAAGTCCTCCTTGGTGCCTCGCAGACTGATGAAAACGGCGAAGACGCCCAAGCCAGGCCGCACCATCTCCAGCTGCTGCTTCACCCCTGCCAAAGTGTCAGGGCTGCGGGAACTGTGGCTGCGGCAGCCGCTCCCTGCCCCCGGACTTGCGGATGCCTGCTCACTTTATCCGCAGCCTTGCCCTCGGCGGCCGGCTAGCACCCGGGCCGTTTTTACAACTGTATTTCAACACTGACTTGGCGGGGGGGGGGGGGGGGGGGGGGGGCAAGGCGGGGGGTTGCTGCTCTTCCGTCTCCTGCCTGTGAAGAACCCAGCCTCAGGCTCCCACTCATCTGCCTCCTCCCACCTCTGCTCTAAGCCTCCCTAGAAGCCCAGGAGGCCCAGCTTCCCTAAGCTGGCCCAGGGCTACAGCGCGGTCCCAGGCTCACTGCCTCCAGTCTTCCCCTAATGGCTTGAAGTTATGAGCGGATTCCTGGGCTCCACGCTATACAGACCACCCGTATGAACACTACTTTGTTATAAGCCTTGATTTCCGTATTACATTTAATACGGGCCATCTAGTGAACGAATATGTGTAATTCCTCACGCTGTACAGGGAGTACAAGACCTCAAAATGGTAAGCAATGCAGATGAATAAATGCAAACCACATTACTGACACCTGGCATTTAGGATTCAGGTAGGGGAGGAGGGAAGAGCACGATGGAGGAAGGTGACAGCCTCTCTGAGGGCCATCTGATGTCCCCAGACAAGCAGCTGGGCTTCCCCACCTCTCAACAAATGACCCCAGACCAATTTTCTGGAAATGGCTCCCACAAAGTCTTATCCTTCATTCCCATTCCCAGGACCACCACCTGCCTGAGGCCACTGGGTGCTCTGCTTAATTTGTTGAACTAGTATTTGTCGAGGACCTAAAATGTGCCGAATCCTCTGCTAGGCCTTGGGGACACTACAAGGAATCAGATACGACGCCTGTCTACTGGAAAGGCGGCTTTCCTGAAAGAAGGTGGCTTTCCCCATAGAGGCTACAAAAAACTGAGTGCTCTGTGTCGGGTGAGCATAGAATTTGTCGTGCCAAAGAGGCCACTTCTGGGCGGAAAGTGAGGCAGATAACGGTGGCCCGCAGGCGCGTGCTGACAAGGGAAGGGGAACGCCGGCTTCCGGAGCCACAGGAGGGCGCCCAGGGCTGCTGTGGAGCCGCAGGGGCAGCCGTGGCCTGCGTCCCAGCGTCTGGGGCTGACCTCACTGCCAGCTCCCCATTGCCAAGTGCAGTGGGGGTGTTCATGGGGAAAATGGGGGGGGGGGTGCCCAGGAGTGAGACCCTGTAGGTCTTCCGAGGCCCTTAAGAATAGCAACTACCTCCACCCAGCCCCTCCTTTCCTTTTTCTCCAACTAGAGGGATGTGATCCAGGAACCACATCCCTGGCAGAACACCAGAGCCTTGAGCCCCAAATCAGGCACACAACGATGATATCAAGGCTTTTTTCTCCACACCAGCCTTAGCTTCCCTTGCTGATACCGTCGGACCAGTCTTCCCCACTCAAACAACTTCCCCTCCAAACCATCCCCAGGAACCTCCTCGAGGCTCAGCAGCGGAATTAAAAGTGCTCCCATTCATACAGGCTCCCTCTGCCTGACCACCCCTCCTCCACACTTGACGGCCACTGGCACTGCCTGCCCCAGCCCCAGAGGCCCCCAGATACCTGGTTCTCTGAGAGGGAGACAGACCCACGAGAATCCCTACCCCCAAAGCAGCTGGAAACAAAGGAGTCCCAGCACCTGGGGTCTCCTGAGTTAAGCATCCTCACTGCCACTGCCTGAAATGTTCTCAAACTGGGATTCATCTGAGGCAGCTTCTAACTCCCCATCCAAGCGGGACAATTGTTTTTTTAGCCAGGTGGGGCTGGTGCCATTAAATAAGAGACATAAAAGCAGTAAACGTTGTAACCGGAACTGGATAGTGAAGGGAGGGCAACATGGCTTCCGGGGGAGGAGGGGTGGAGGGACGGGGAGGGCACTGGGACCGCATCAGAGGACAGGGCCAGGGTTCAGAGGTCCTGGGAGACCAGGAGACAGGGGGGCAGGAAGTACCAAAGGCAAAGTCTGTCAGTCCACATAGCCCTGTCCAGCTGCCCTGCTACCAGCCAGTCAGCCTCACCTCACTCAGCTCACACAGTGTGAGGGAAGGGAGGCCTTTGCTGGCAGCGGATGCTGGCTGAGGCCCAGCTAAGTGAGGCAAAGAGATGAAAAGGCTGATTTTCGGTCAAACACAGCTCATATCTTAGAGATCATTACAACTGCCACCTGCCTTCTCCCCCGTGAGGAAACCTAGGACATCACTTTTCTACTGAACCTACTCTGCTGCCCACCTTCCTCAGCTCCTCCAGAGCAGCCACAAGCCTACCCTCTGGAGTGGAGAGCTCCTTCCCACTGCTCTCTGGGCTCCTCCATGTACTGCTGAAGGCCATGGTTTCCACCCCAACCGCATCTGGAGCTGTTCCTCACTCTCCACCTCCCACCCCAGCCAGAGGCCTTTATCTAGAACCGTCTCTTACCCTCCTAGCCAGCCAGCCTCCTATCCTCAGATCATACCAGCAGCTTCTGGTTATGTGATATCCTAAAGTCCATTTCAAAATGGTAACATCTCACTCAACTCTGGCTCGGCTACTCGGTTCCCTGTGGGCTGGCCTGCTCTCCTGCCGTTTTTAGTGAGGCCTTTTCTCTGGAAGCTCCATGTTCCTTAGTCCAAAGGGGGCCAAGAGCCCAGACTTTCAAGTCAGACACACCAGTGTTCTCATCTCCGCTTTGCTACTTTCACCTGGGTGGCCTTGGGAAGTCACTTCACCTCACTTCTCTACCTCCTGCATAAACATTAGGATGATGACATCTCTCTCCCAGGTGGCAATGAGGATCATGTGCAATGACAAAGGGAAAGCCTCTCACACAGACTTACCAAGGAAGCCCTCACCCATAGCTATGCCTCCTCGCCCCCCAAATCAGACTTCTATATTTTTGGACACAGCCTAGCAGAGGAGATGACTGCATTAAGTGTTATCTGGGCCCCAGATTTCAAGCACAAGCCCAGAGCTCAAGGGACAGAAGAAAGCCAGAAGGGTACTCCTCTTGCAGCCTCAGCCTTAATAAGGAGCTGGTTCCTGAAAGAGTCAAAAAAAAAGTATAACCTTGGGTCCCAAATAAAACACAACAATTATAGCAAGACTTTCTTCTCCATGCTGGCCTTAGCTTCCCTTATTGATACTGTCAGAACAGGCTTTCCCACTCAAAATAAGTGAGAAATTAAGGAAAAAAGCAGGATTCATACCACAAACTTCGTGAAAACCCAAGAAATATTCCTTTAGGATGCTACCGACTATCATGAACTATTAGATGATTTAAGATCTGGAGAAACTAGAAATGGGCAACCTGGAAGGGAGCCTTGAAAGAGGAGAGGGCAAAGTGGGTGAGGTTATAGGGGAGAGAGGGTAAATATGCCAAGAATGGAGTGAGAGATAAGGACCAAGGGCTCTTTGGGGGTGATACAATACAAGGGAAGCTGCTTCCCAACCCCTAAACACAGAGGCCTTGCTGGGAACAGATGCTGGAGACGGCGTGTGCGTGCTTACCTGTTCTGCTTAAGGGCGGTCATAGGGCAGCCAGGAGGAGAAAGAGCACCAGCCTAGCTGGGAGGCTAGCCCCAGAGGGGTGCTGTTGGGAGCTCGGAGGAGCAACACAGCCCGGTCTTTTACCTGGCAGGCAGCGGGCGTTCTCAGGCAGCAGGTACTTATAGGTATTGAAGAGTCCTGCATTGGAGATCACGATGGGGCAATAGATGTTCACCAGCTCCTGACCCTTCTTCACAGTGACACCTGCAGGCACAAGAGCTTGGCTGAGGCTCTGTGCACTCCAGGAGGAAGAGGAAGGTCCAGATTTCACACAGTTCTCTCCCCCAGCCTACACTTCATGTTCTCAGACCTGTGCATCCAGCCCACCTAGGGCCAGGCTCTAGGCAAAACTGCAAAGCAAGGGGTGCCTGGGTGGCTCAGTCGTTGAGCGTCTGCCTTCGGCTCAGGTCATGATCCCAGGGTCCTGGGATCGAGCCCCACATCGGGCTCCCTGCTCCACGGAGAGCCTGCTTCTCCCTCTCCCACTCCCCCTGCTTGTGTTCCCTCTCTCGCTGTGTCTCTCTCTGTCAAATAAATAAAATATTTAAAAAAAAAAAAAAACTGCAAAGCAAATGCAACATCTTCGAGCACTCTCTGCCTATCCCAAGTCGCTCCTGCCCTTACCTTCCCTGGCCCTCTCCCCGTCCCATGGGAGCACCCTTTTCTTTAGTCAAACCTGACAACCTCCACACGAACCCCGACAAAGCTCATGGGCTGACACCCTTCCACTGGAATCCCAGGACCTTCTTCACTGCTGCCAGAGTTCTATTTCCAAAATACTCTGAAAGCCTCTGGCGACACCACAACCTCTGTAAGATAAACTCCAAAGTCATACCGGCCTTCCAAGGTCTGGGCCCTTCTATGTCTCCAGCGTCATCTCTGGCCGCACTCACTAAACTATTAGGGGGCAGCATATGAAACAGCTGATAGTCAACCATTAACTGACCTATAAAAATGGCAGTTTCTGGGGCACCTGGGTGGCTCAGTTGGTTAAGCGTCTGACTTGGATCTTGATCTCAGGGTTGTGAGTTTGAGCCCCATGTTGGGCTCCTACTTAAAAAACAAAGAAGGCAATTTCTTAGGGTTCAACCTACTACTTCCAGATGCCTAAAAATACTCAGCTCTTTCATACATCTGTACCTTTGCACATTCTGTTCCCCTTGCCTGGAATAACATCCCAAAGCCTCGGGCTAGCTTCTTCTCACCCTTAATGAGCTGGCTCAAGCACCTCTACCTTCCTTCCTCCATTCTTAGGATGTACCTCTATCTGACACTTTAAATTATATCTCAGTGATCTTCCCTATGAGGCTGGAAACTTCATGAGTTACAGATTTTCTTTATAGCCATCTTAGGTTTTTATCTCCATCTTTTATCATCTAGCACCTGAAAAATACAATATTCTGAACTGATCTAATTAATCTGATCAACCCACCTTGCTTCATGAACCTCTTTCAGCTGTGAGGAGAACTTGCTCTGGACATCAGAGAAAATCTCACACAACTGACAGCCACCTCTCCCTTATCACCCAACAACTTCCTGGTCTCTTCTACACATGCATTCTCAGAGATCACTCCTGGCCTTTTCCCCCTAGATTTTTTTTTTTTTTTTTTTTTGTGCACTGGGCCATCCACTCCCCTCTTCCTCCTTGCAAGATTCTTCTGGTGAGTTCACTGTCACATCAGCCCTGTTCTCTCAAGCCTCTCTGTGTCTCCTTCCCAGATGCTTCTTTAAGCAGCCCCTAGTCATGGATGGCCTGTTCATTCTGTGTACCAGAGTCCTTCCCTGCATACACCCTCTCACGAATTCACCCACAGTGCAATTTTGACTCTCTGTGCAGGTAGCAGTAAAGACCTGAGCCAGGCTAATGAGATTCTCGGCTCCACCTGCCATTTACAGGTTGAGGGTAGGGCATCTTGCTGGTCTCCACACTGCCGTTTGGAGTGCCCAGGTTACATATTCATTCCATCACTGAACAAATATGTGTTGAGCCTCCATTATGTGCCAGGATCTACAAAGATAACAGAGACACAGCCCCTATATTCAAGGAGGTTATGGATTACTAGATAACTATTTTTACCTACTGAATAAATGATTAAATACTGTCCTTTGGGGGAAGAGTCAATCCTTTATCCTTCCTGCCTCCTTTCTACCTCCAGACTAATCCCTCTCCCCAAGCTCCTGCTCTGGGCAGTTTCAGCCTTGAACTCCCCGTGAGGTCAGTTCTTCCACCTTGTGGCCGCAGTGCTTGATTGTCTCTGCACCCCAGTTCTGTCCCACCCCAGCCCGGGGACCGGGAAGCATGATGCAGGGCTCTCACCACAGGCTTTCCCAGCTGAGTCCAGCAATACACACTGCACAGTGGCACTGGTCAGGACAGCGCCCCCGGCCCGCTGAATCACAGGGATGGTGTGGAAGGCGATTTCACTGGTACCCCCTCGGGGATAAAAGGCCCCTTCTATGTAGTGGTCGACCACCAGAGCATGCATGGAAAAGGCACTGTGGCTGGGGGTCACACCTACGGAAGGAAGGAAGGGGCGAGGAGGCAAGAGCCAACGGCAGCACCATTTAGAAAGGAACACAGTTTCCTGGGCGCCTGGGTGGCTCAGTTGGTTAAGCGACTGCCTTCGGCTCAGGTCATGATCCTGGAGTCCCGGGATCGAGTCCGCATCGGGCTCCCTGCTCAGCAGGGAGTCTGCTTCTCCCTCTGACCCTCCCCCCTCTCGTGTGCTCTCTCTCTCACTCTCTCAAATAAATGAATAAATAAAATCTTTAAAAAAAAAAAGAAAGGAACACAGTTTCCTGTCAAAAAGGACGCAGCCTGAGTCTACCCATCCCAGGATCCAAATGATCCCCAGGGCTAAGGGCAGCCAGAGGGCCTGTTTCCATCCAAACACAGGGCACCTGACAGATCCTGAGGCCAGTGGGAATGTCCTCCCTGCAAAGTGCCATGCTGCCAAGATGAGGGAGGACATTGTTGGTTGAAAAGGAAAACCATCCAGGGCACGGATGAAGGGAAGTTTTACCAGGGAGTCCAGCAGGTAGGTGGCTAGACTTCTCATCCAGAAGCTCCAGCAGGCCTTGGGTATCTACTGCTCCATCTCAGTTAGTCAAGCAGTCTCAGGAAGAAAGACTGAGAGCCAAGAGGGCAACCCCTCCTCCTCCAGGAGCCGCCCAGGACCCAAAGCCAGTACCCACCATAAGTGGGGAAGATGTAGCTCAGCACTGCCCGGAGCTCCGGGGAGGCTGGCAGCTGCCGCAGGACGTCAGCCAGGCTCTGGGTGGACGCACGAAGGAATGGAAAGAACCGGGTGAGCGGCCCACACTTGCTGAGGAGCTGAGCTATGCGCAACGGGAGCATCTTCAACAAGATGGCATGGATGACTCCACGGGACACCACCTGAGGGGAAAAAATGAGCCGTGAGAACAGGTCCCATCTTTAGAATGCTGTAACAGAATCCCCATTCCAACAGCCTGCACCAGCCCAGCACCAGGGCCCAGCACCCCTTAGCCCTGGCAGAACTTGGATTTTTAAAAATCGTTCCCATTCCACATTCAGATAAGTCCTTTTCTCCTTTTCAGTTTCCTGCCCAAATTCCCTTTGAAAAATCCCATCTGATCTCTGAGGAAGTAAAAAAGGGTGTGATCTGACCACATAGGTAGAAGCCAGCGTTGTCAAAAAGGAGAACAGGGTGCCCCCAAGAGGCCAGAGTGAGAGTGGCAGCCGCCGAGTCCAGGCTCCAGAGACAGGGCCCAGCTGGGCACCAAGGCCAACTAGGGGTAAGGGCTGAGTTCAGGGCAAACTTGACTGTTCCTCCCTTCCCGCCGCGCCTCCCAGTCACTCCACCCACGAAGAAGGTCAGCCTTGTCAGGAATAAACAGGGGGTCCTCAGCATGTCCATGTTACCTTAATCAGCTTTACATATTTGTCAATGGCAGCTTCTTCCTGGGGAAACTTCTCCTTGAGGCCCTGAACATAAGCTTTCTCCCCACTGTACATGGGGAACTCCTTTCGGCCATTGGGCCCTTCTAGTACCATGATGTCAAAGGGAGAGGATAGCCCACTCCAGCTGCCCCTCTGTGATCTGATCCAAGACAAAACGGCAAATGCTGTCCTCTTGCATGGACCCAACATAATGGATTCCTATTGGGAGACAGAAAAACAAGGTGTCATAGGGATAAGGGGACTGACCCCTGGAAAGGTGGATAAGGAAGCAAGGTGAAAGAGGTAGTCCTGCCTGGCTGAGTCCATGCCCAGAGGGCGCTGCCCACCCTTTCTGTGGGGAGGAGTTGCAACAGAAACCACCAAATCTCTGCCCAGTTCAGCACCCGGTAAAGTTATGGCTGTCAGGCAAAGACAGTGGTGCCTCCAAAACAACAGAAATGTCCAGGATCCTCCCACAATGGCTGCCCCCAGCCTCCTGAAGATAGAGCCACGCTCCTAAGCCCTTCCCACATAAGCCTTACCTGTGTCAAACTCAACGCCTCTCTGTCCAAAAGTATGACAGCAGCCTCCTGCCTTGCTGTGTTGTTCCAGCACCAGAACTCGCTTGCCAGCTTTGGCCAGAATCGCAGCTGCAGCCAGACCCCCAAAGCCACTGCCAATCACCACTGCATCCAGCTTCTCAGGCACTTGGCTGGCTGAGAAAGCTACCGCAGAGGGAAGAGATGGAGGGTGAGCTTCTCATGCAGGGGGGGCGAGAGAGCAAAGAGATGGACACCAAGGAAGACTCCGCTAGCTTATACAATGCAAATAAACTCTAGAGAGTTCGGCATGGAGCGACTGACTAAAATAACTCCACCCATTCACCTGGGAAATTCTCAGGACCAGCCAGGCAGACTAAAGACAGCGATTTGGTTTGAGTTGAATTGATGTAATCAAAACCAGTATGTACCTGGAGATTTTCCCTACTATCAAAAAGAGTAGGAATCAGTAAACCACGACACAATCAAAATCAGAAAGCTGACAGTAATACAGGCTGAGAAACTTACGTGTGGATAGAGAGCTAGGAAAGAAAGAAAACGAGGAGATGGGGGACAGAGGAGAGTGTTGTGGGCAGACTGTCGGCTCATGGAACTGTCCATTCACAAGCTGGTTATCTTAGGAAAATACAGGGTCTGTTGGCACGAGTGGAGCAGCCTGGTCCTATGATGGTTCGTCAAGATCCTGAAGCAGAAGCTTGAGCAGGACAGAGCTGAGAAATCATAGTACCACCCCTTCATATCTGGGAAGTCTAGAGGCAGAACTAAGGGGCCAGCACCTAAACAAGATGAAGCCGGACAGCGCATTGTGCTACATGGGCATTTCCAACAAAAAAATCTGTTCTTTAAAGATCACTCGTGAAGAACTGAGATTTGGAATTTTTCAAGCTGCAAAAGAACTTGAAAAACTTTTCAAACACTTTCAGAAAAACCTATAGTGAAAAACACATTTTTTTTTTAAAAGATTTTATTTATTTATTTGACAGAAAGAGCACAAGTAGGCACAGCAGCAGACAGAGGGAGAAGCAGGATCCTCGCCGAGCAGAGAGCCCAATGCGGGGCTAGATCCCAGGACCCCGGGATCATGACCTGAGCCGAAGGCAGACACGTCACCGACTGAGCCACCCAGGTGCCCCATGAAAAACACATTTTATATCACAACCCAGGTTATAAATAAGTATATAATATAAATACCCGAAACAGAAGTTTCATAATACAATACTTCCCAGAACTATGTATGATGACTCATATTTTCTATTCTACATTTTGAAATGCAACCCACTAAATCGATTTCATTACTTACTGATAAATCACAACCTGGTTTGAAAAACAGTTACACTAGTCATCTCATTTTTAGAACAACCCAAGATTAGTGGAGTGACTTGTGAATGGTTATGCAGTAAATTAGTGACAGAGTTCAAGCTAAAACCCTGATCTCAGAAGTTCAGACTAACAGTCTTTCCACTTAAGAGTATTGTCTCCGCCTGTGTCACAGGATGTGTCACACAGAATTCTAAAATTTACAAGTAGGAGGGACCTTGGAGATCAAAGAGGGAATCTAATTTTTTTTAAAGCACAACTCTTTCTTTAAACCTTCTGAGGAACCCCAAAATATGTCCTAAAGATGAGTGTGGAGATGCTCTGGCTGACTAAGGAGCAGCTCTGAGCCTGAGGCATCCTGCTGAGGTTCGCCCAAAGTTTTAGAACCAGGGTTCAACCATATGATTTGGGAGGAAGCATAACTGGTCAAATCACCTGATGGGCAAAATACAATTTCCCACACAGGTTGGAAGAAATGTGCAGGTCCTCCACCCCTCTGAACCATGGGGGAGGGCAAGTGAAAAAGGTAAGGTCCTATAAACCAAATGGGGCGAAGGTCTGTTGTCTATCCTGCTGGTTGAGGACCTGTTCTTGGCAAAACCATGACTTTGGGATGCAGAGGACGGGACCGCGCCCATGGGGCCACTATGGCCCGGGGCCTGCCAGGGCATAGGTTCTCACCGGTAGCAGACAATAAGGCGGGGCGCCTGCCGGTGCAAGGAAACCCTCCCAACACTTTACATATGGGGAAACTGAGGCCCAGGTAGACAGCAGCTCTCCCTCTTGGAATAGGGATGCAAGCCGCCCAAGTGCAGCCTTGGAGCCTAGGGTCCCTTCCGGCTGACCTCGCTTGAGAACCTTCTTCCTAGCCTCCTTGTCGGTCACCAGCGGCGCGGGGGGACGCCTGACGTCCTCGGAGAAGGGGTTCGGGGAGCTGCCTGCGGACAGCCGCAGGTGCCCTTTGCAGAGGACCGTCAGCAGCAGCAGCGAAAGCCACATGGCGCTGGCGGGGCCCGAGGACGGGGCCCGCTGCCACCGCGCCCAGCCTCTGCGGCAGGGGCTCCGGCTCGCCTCTGAGTCCTTCTGGGCGAGGGTGGGGTGGGCGGGGAGGCGGAGGCAGCCTCGACCACTGATAAGCCAGAACCTTCGGGCCGGGACCGTCCCTCCCGGCGGCTCGGACGGCTCTGGCGGTACTAAGCGTCCCGGGCGGCCAGAAGGCGGGGCGCTGGGGGCGGAGAGGCTGCGTGGGGACGCGGTGCGCACGCGCGGGGAGGCGTGGCCGGCGGCCTGAGCCCGACGCGACGGCTCCCGGGTTCTGGGCCGCGGCCAGCGAGCCCCTACCTCTGCGGAGCGGGCGTGGGGTGGAGATGGTCGCCCCCGGCCGAGACGAGGCTGAGAGCTGCAAGCCTGAGAGAGAATCTCGCCCGGCACCCAGGAGGCCAGAGGTGTGGTCTGCGCTCTGCCTTGGGCGCGCCCAATGACCCGAGGCAAGTTGCTTACCTGTTTTTCGCACCAACTGGTGAGGAGGATTCCGTCCGGAACCCACACAGCCCCAGTCTGGCGGGGTACCTTGATGGAGTGAGATTCCTGCTGAGATCCGCCCGTCACAGCCGGCGAGCGCCCGGCCTCGTGCCCCCGGGTGGCCAGTCGTTTTGCCCGAGGCCGCGGCGCTCGCCTGGGATGGCGTTGCCTGCGGCGGGGGCCTGGCGGCGCCCCCAAGCCTCTGCCTGGGTCCTCGTGGCACCTGCCCTCCCTGGGGGCAGTGAGGGGCCGGGGAGCCGCCCAGCGACAAGCCTGATGAAAGGATCAGAGAAGAACTGTCAGACCTACGTGGGCATTTGGTATTTAAAGTATGGACCCAGTGTCTGGATTAAATACCTATTCGGAGAGTTGAAGCTCCAGCAAGAAGTTTGAAAATCATATGTAGCTCCTTGCCTAGAGTGGGTGTACCATACTTAATTTGAAAAAGACCCATTCTTATGGGAAGGCCATTTCTTTGGGCCCAACTATAAGGAACTTGCCTAATGTTGGTGGGCATGACTTCATAACTTCCGTTACTGGCTTATTTGATGGAGTTTTTGCTCTTTTCTTTCTCTATTACAGACAGTAACTGTCCCTGTTGAAGTCCCCAGAGCTCCAGTTGGAACTGAGGCACTAGCAGGTGTGTAAAGTTGGTCATGTTTCTGTGCTGCGTGATTTCATTTCATACACAGAAACAGAAGAGGTTTCCTGAGATCACTGGTACCATCCCTGCCTGTCACCTTCCCAAGGCTGGCTGTGTGAGTTTTGTTATATGGTGTCATGGAGATCAAGGAGGAGGGCAAGGAAAGGGAACCAGATGCTGAGGTCCCAGAGGACACAGTGAGGGAGAGAGCTAGTTCCTGAGGTACCATGACCAAGGTAGGACAGGTACTGTCCTCCCCATTAAATTACAGTGACCCAAATGTCCAGCCCAATAGCCAGGAAGTATTCCTATTCTGGGTGCTTGGAAATCATCCTACCACCTGACAAAGATTCCAGTTTGTTACTGGCAGCCAATTCTTAGGGAATCCAGATCATGTTCCCACAGTCCGGGGCTGACCTCAAAGAGAGGCCACCCTCCTTCCTAAGTTATCCAAGTCTGTGAAATATGGCCGTCAGTTGTGTGTGGGCTTTCTGCCCACTTATGATCCAGACTGTTGTAACAGTCATCCATGTTGTACAGTTCCTCCACAATAAATTACGGGCCTGTCCAGCCCTCTTCCCAAGGTGGGCTCGTGGGATGACTGTTTTAGAGTTAGCCAAACTGACTAAACAGCTGCAACATGTGCAATATTGGTGTTCACCAAGGAAGGCTAGGCAATGTGTTGCATTTTGATTCTCTATCATCATAGGAACCAGGCCTAGTATTATAAGCCCCCAGACCCAACCTGTGTCTGAGACCTAAGCAAAGCCTGAGCACTTCAGCTAAGACCACCCACCAGGATGCCACTCATTAGCTTCCTCCCTTTGATAAGCTGCCCCCAGATCCCAGTGACTTCATTGTCAGAACCAGACCTCACAACTAAACAGTGGTGCTGCCGCTGCCTTCTGGACACTGAGGATCCAACCCTCAGACCTCTAGCATCCCCTTCGTTCCATCCAGTGGCATGGAAAGTAAGAATTAGGCATTTGACTAAAGCAGCTGATTTATTCGGAATAAATTTATAGCTGCTTAAAGATTTTTATTTATTTTTAAGATTTATGTATTTATTTTGAGAGAGAGAGAGAACAGGGAGAGGGGTAGAGGGAGGGAGAGAAGCAGACTCTGGCTAAACACAGAGCCCTACTCTACCGGAGACACGATCTCACGAACCTGAGATCATGACCTGAGCTGAAATCAAGAGCGGGGTGCTTAACCTCCTGAGCCACCCAGGTGCCCCTGGATGTTGGCTGTTTTTGACCATTTATCATCCATTCCCATTTTTGCTTAACTGAATGACGAAACTAGTTTTCTTCTGTAATTTTTTTTTCTTATAGGACTGAGACTTCAGAGACCTCAGGGACTTCTTTCAGTACTCACAGAAACGTCCTAGCCTTGGTGATGGCACATGGGGACTGTTTACTTATTCTTAGTCTGAATGACTGCCAAGAAGGAAGGCAAAGGTAGAGCAGTCGGATCGCTGGCTCTCCCCATACTTCTAATCTCAGACTTTATTAGACTCCTTTCTGAGCCCAAGGACAAAGCTCACTTGAACAAATGACTTTGAGTCATGAATGAAAACTCTTGCTCTTTCCATAATGAGAAAGGATTAAGAGATGGACAGGTAAGCAAGCCCTTCTATTTGAGAAAGAAGGTGTTCATTTGGGATATATTGTTATTAGTAATAACACAGGATATATCAAGAGAATTTAGAACTTTCAAAATGTTTTGGGAAAACCTTCATTATAATGCTCTTTGTAGGAGAAGCTTCTATTCATATACCTCTGAGTCAGTTGCCTTTGCTAGCAGCTTCTTTTTTTTTTTTTTAAGATTTTATTTATTTTTTTGAGAGAGAGGTCTAGCACACATGCCTGCACAGGAGGTGGGGAGGGGCAGAGGGCGAGGGAGATGAAGAAGCAGACTCCCTGCTGAGCAGAGGTTTGATCCCAGGACCCCGAAATCATGACGCAAGCCAGAGACAGCTGCTTAACAGATTGAGCCACACAGGTGCCCCTTTTTTTTTTTTTTTTTTTTTTAAGTTTATTCATTTAAGTAATCTCTACACCCAATGTGGGGCTCAAACTCATGACCCCGAGATCAAGAGTCACATACTGTTCGGACTGAGCCAGCCAGATGCCCCACTAGTAGCTTATTTTCTAAGTGAGTCATGGGATTTTTGTTTCGGATTTACTTGGGTGAGAGGAGAATGTCAATGAGGAATCCCCCAAGATATTTTTAATTTATCAATTTGGACTGTTTACCTTATTGACCCTTGTCAAACACATGCTTTGGCTCGATTATCCTCAGGACTCTGGGTCCAGTGTGATATGTCTTTGTGTGAGCCTGGCAGCTAACCCTACCTTCCTTGCCTTTCTCCCTACCTGGTCCACAAGTGGTCTTAATGGAGCTTGTGGGACAAAGCCTTTGCTTTGGGAGCCCAGGGAGGTTTTCTTCACTGTACTAAGACAGGTGAACTGTTCTTCCAGGAGAGAAGTCTTCGGCCACTGGAGGGGACTGAATTGGAGAGGGAAAGGAAGGATGGAATGAATCATAAGCACACAGACCCCTGCAGGGAGTTGTTCAGCATAGTGAATCATCAGAATTTTTTTTTTTTTAAAGATTTTATTTATTTATTTGGCAGAGAGAGACACAGCGAGAGAGGAAACGCAAGCAGGGGCAGTGGGAGAGGGAGAAGCAGGCTTCCCGCGGAGCAAGGAACCCGATGCGGGGCTCGATCCCAGGACCCTGGGATCATGACCTGAGCCGAAGGCAGACGCTTAACGACTGAGCCACCCAGGCGCCCCAAATCATCAGAATTTTTGAGAACATATTTTGTGCCTTGTACTGTGCTAATGGGTGTCAGAAATAGAAGTGTAAAAGAAATTTCCTCCACTCAAAGCCACAGGGTCTGATTTAAAGATAGGCTGCATTGGGGGAAGTGAAAACTCTAGGGCCATTTTGATTGACGGTGCAGTTTCAGCACAGTCACAAAAAAGAAGTGGAGTCACAAGACTTATTACTTGCAGATCCCAGAAACATGGCAGGGGTGAGTGTGTGGAGGGGGCAATGAGCCAAGGTAGGGGCAGTCCTCAGTCCCAGATCACGAGCAAGCACAAGATAGGGAGTAGAGGAGCAAGCACCCCTATTACTTATAAGGGGGAGGTCACTAGCTTTTCTCAGGCTCGACTCTTAAGTGATTATTTTAAAAGGTGCCCCAGGAAAAGCAAGGCAGGACCTCGTGGCAAGAATCCTAAGCTCAGGTGCTTATCTAAATGTCCAGGTTCTGGCTGTGAGCAGGGTTGTCGTACTGTAAACGTAGGAAGCAACTCCGAATAGCTGTTTTCTTGTCACATAGGACTCTTGCAGAGGGACTTGTCCTCCCCGCCGAAGGGCTGGCTGTAGGACTGAGAAGGGAAGAGACCCTTGTAGCCCCAGTGGGGAAGGCAGGCCACCTTGAGGAGGCAGAAGGGGTGGTGGTAGGGGTGTCTTCCGGAGGAAGACCACATGACCCAAGGGATGGAGGTGAGAGGATCTGCAGCAAGTGTGTTCTCTGGACTGAAGTGGGAAATAGTCGTGAGGAGGCATCACGAGGCCAACAGTGGAGGAGTTTGCTCAGCTGTGCCATGTTCAGGCATTCATTCTTGTGTCCTGGTCATAAAGAAATCAAAGCTCTGTTTAAGGAGTAAGAGTTGGCAAAAATGTGTAAGAGGGATTAGAGTAACAGGATCAGCTGGGATTCTGGGGCCTTGACGTAGCACTGATTTTTTTATTAGTTATTTTCTTTTACTTAGTTTTTTCCTCTTATTTATTTTATTTTACTTCTTAAGATTTATTTATTTGTCAGAGAGAGAGAAAGTGAGAGCACAGGCAGGGGGAGCAGCAGAGGGAGAAGCAGGCTCCCCAATGAGCAGGGAGCCCGATGTAGGACTGGATCTCAGGACTCCAGAATCATGACCTGCGCCCAAGGCAGACGCTTAACCCACTGAGCCACCCAGGCGCCCCTCCTCTTATTTATTTTAGAGCAAATAATACATTCACATGGTTCAGAATCCAAAAAGCAGGGAGCATGTACCTATAGTGAAAAACTGCCTTCTCTTGTCCCCTAGCCACCCAGTTTTCTTCTGGAGGCAAAATCACTGCTTCCTTGGGTATAAGTCTAGAAATAGTCTCGGCAGAGACAAGCAAATACATTTGTGTGTTTTCTAAAAATATAAATGGTAACATACTGTATATACTTTGCCCTTTGCTTTTTCCACTTAATATATCATGTGGAGTGTTCCATATTGTCCATAAAACACTTTCTTATTCTTCTTTATGGCTAGATCGGAGCTCATTGAGTTAATATGCTTTTATTTGTGAAACTAGTCCATTAGTGGGCATTCGGGGTTTTTCTAGCCTTTTGCTATGACAAACAGTTCCACCACGAATGACGCTCTAAGCATGTCCTTTTGCACACGGACGAGTATATCTGTTGGATAAGTTTCTAGAATGCAGTTGCAGGCCCAAAATGGACAAAGCATGTACAATTTTGTCAGATATTGTCAAGCTGTAGCGGTGGGAACAATTTACCCTTCAGTGTGTTACAACACTTGGTTTTCTAGCCAACACAGTGTGTTATCACTCTTTTGAAATTTGCTCATATGATAAGTGACAAATATTATCTCGGACTAGTTTTATTTGAACATCTCTTATTACGAGTAAGGTTGAGCATTTTTTATTTGTTTCAGAGCATTGCATGTTTCCTTGTCTGTAAGCTGTCCATATCCATGCCCATTTTTCTACTGGGCTGGGTTTCTTTTCCTGACTGACTTGTAGGATTTTTTTAAACACATTAGGAAAATTAGTCCTGTATTGGTAATCTGAATTGCAAAAGTTGGTCAAGTGGTTTTGTTTTGTTTGTGTTTTTAAAGTTGGTAAGTGGTTTTTTTAAAGCTCTAAAGCTGAACAGAAAGGCCAAAAGTAAGGAAACTGCCTCCCTAAACTTACTCAGAGTCCTGAGACCTTTTACGGAGCCAAAAAATCTGAGATAATATTAACTAAGCTTTTTGCAGTTTCTCTTAAGACTAGATTAAGCAGAAGTTTTCCCTTACAGTAGTCCTTACAGTTGAGTTCTCGGGAGTTCATCCATTTGTGTGTGTGTGGTATTGGGAAAAGGTGTGACATTTAAGCTGTCAACTTTGGAGGACTGATATGTGCCCAAGAATCTGACCCTGCTTTGTCTTATAGGTTGAAAGTGTGTGTGCTGCGTATCCTCCACCATATGACAAGGACACCAGTGCTCTTCGGGCTCTCAGAGGAATACCTGTACATGTCACCCACACCCCAGTACCTCCCACCCATACAAGCTTTTGTTGCATGCTGCTCTGTGGGGCCAGGCACCAGGGACTCAGGACAGCAGAGACCCTGCTTCCAGGAGCTCACACTTGGGGGCGGAGTTGTGGGGCACAAACTTGCAAAACAACCTCTAGCTAGTAAGATAATTGCTCCAGGGAAGCAGAATACAAAGTGCAGTGGGAATACCAAAGGCACACCACAGTCTCAGTTGAGTTGTGTGAATTTTTGTTTATTCTTCAAGGAAAGCATATGCTTGTCCCCACGTCACGTGACTTGTACATGATAGTTGGAGTTTTCCACGTGCCTCTCTTTAAGATGGACTTTAATCAACCCATCCTTCTGACCTCCAGTTCCAAAGACATTCTCTTCTGTGGGTGGGGCATGTTTGTGTGGATGGGAGGGTATGGATTCACCCTCACACTAAAGGTCAGCTGCCCCTACAGATCTCAGAGTTGAAGAACCATGGCATCCTCCGGGCCCTGACAGCAGAAGCAAATGGATGGGAGCCACGTGGTAAGGTCCCCTTCAGCACCCTAGGAGCCTGGGTGGGAACCAAGTTAGAGGTCCCCGTGGTCTACTTTTCATCATTTGAATTTCTCTCAGTACTTGTCCTATAGAATTTTACGGATTTATCATTCTTCAAGGAAAATTAGAATCAACACTGGATTAGAAGTCAAAAGACTTGAGTCCTAATCTAGCACTCAAAGCAGCTTATTACGTGCCTTGCGCAAATCATATCATCTCCATATCTGCTGTGGAGGTTGATCAATGCCTTCTCTGTCCTCAAAGGGATATTGCGACAATGATACGAGACAGTGTATGTGAAAAGGCTTTGAAAAAGTATCCTATTTTATCTGCTTTACATGATTCTTTTGTATACTTTGTTTAAAGTTCATTTCACTTGCTGATTTATGACACAGAAAGGCCCACTCACCAGGTGAGAAACACCTAGAGTCCCATATCTCTGGTTTAAATCCTGCCTTTTTCACCCACCAGCTGTATGACCTTGAGCAAGTTTCTTAACCTGCTAACCCTTACTTACTTCATCTGTAAAACAGAAAGTGAGTCAGAACCTGTGTGATGGGAATTGTGTAAGGACTATATGAGCTCAGGTGAAGTGCTTAGAGCACAGATTATAAATCTATAACGAGTGCTCATTGCTATGTATTGTTATCTTGAAATTCTGCAAACTGAAAATGTAATCTCCACAAATATGGGGCTTGTTAAAAATATTCTAATGTAGAAAAATTATTTGGAGATCTGTGAAGTTTCTTCTAATAGATTTTTATCTTTGTGTGGTGACAAACCTAACATTTATTAGAGATTTTGCCTTAAATGCCAAAATATTTTATATTTCAGTACAAGTAGCATTTATGTGCCAGATTTTTTTTTAAAGATTTATTTACTTATTTATTTGAGAGAGAGAAAGCAGGGGGGAGGGGCAGAGGGAGAGGGAGAGTCTCAAGCAGACTCCGAGATGAGCACTTGCTGAGCCCATGGAAAGCTCAATCTCACAACCCTGAGATAATGACCTAAGCCGAAGTCAGAGGCTTAACCGACTGAGCCACCCAGGCTCCCCTGTGCCACATATTTTTAGTCGTATTAAACAGTTACAGTTTTCTTCCAGATTGTTCTCAGCTCATTTAAATTGATAGGCTTATGAGGCACCTGGCTGGCTCAATTGGTGGAGCATACAACTCTTGATCTTGGGTTGTGAGTTCGAGCCCCACATTGGAGATTACTTTAAAAAAATAAAATCTTTAAAACGGGCGCCTGGGTGGCTCGTTAGTTAATCGTCTGCCTTCGGCTCAGGTCATGGTCTCAGGGTCCTGGGATCGAGCCCTGTGCCAGGCTCCCGGCTCAGCGGAGAGTCTGCTTCTCCTTCTTCCTCTGCCCCTCCCCCCTGCTTGAGGTCTCCCTCTCTCCCTCTCTCAAATAAATAAATAAAATCTTTAAAAATAATTAAATAAACGGGGCTCCTGGGTGGTGCAGTGGGTTGAGCATTGGACTCTTGGTTTCTGCTCAGGTCATGATCTCAGGGTCGTGAGATTGGGCTCCGTGCTCTGCACAGAGGTCTGCTTAAGACTGTCTTTCCCTCTCCCCCTCAAATAAATAAATGTTTAAAAATAAAATAAATAGGTAGGTAGGTAGGTAGATAGATAGACAGGCTTACTAATTCAGTGATACTGTTCCCTATATGGTTAAGTGGAAGAGAGCCCAAATGAAGGCAGTTGAAAAAGGAAGAAAGGTAGGGAACTGTGCTAATGTGAACTTCAATTGCTATCCTGAAGATTTGTGCTTTGCCTCCATTTTCTTCTGTTGGGGGAAATTAGTATTTATGTCAGGATCATCTTCAGATGAGGAGGAATCTCCCTGGTTCCAAGAGGAAAGGGAAGAAGTGCTCTTTTTATGCCTTGGACACTTGTCTCCAGTTTTTAGGGACCAGATTGCAACCGCTAGTTGAAACTTGTACTTTGTGTTGACTAACCTACAGTCACAGCAGATTCCCAGGTGCAGGTGAGGTTTCTGCTCCTGGCTCACAGCCTTCTGCCAAGTTGTTTGTAGGTGAAAGGTTGAGAGGTGCCTGGGTGGCTGAGTCAGTTAAGTGGCCAACTCTTTTTTTTTTTAAGATTTTATTTATTTATTTGACAGAGAGAGGCACAGCGAGAGAGGGAACACAAGCAGGGGGAGTGGGAGAGGGAGAAGCAGGCTTCCCGCGGAGCAGGGAGCCCGATGTGGGGCTCGATCCCAGGACCCTGGGATCATGACCTGAGCCGAAGGCAGATGCTTAACAACTGAGCCACCCAGGTGCCCCAAGTGGCCAACTCTTGATTTCGGCTCAGGTCATGATCTCAGGGTTGTGAGATGGAACCCCGCCTCGGGCTCCGCGCTCAGCGGGGAGTCTGCTTGAGATTCTCTCTCTCCCTCTTCCTCTGCTCCTCCCCCTGCTCAGGCTCTCATTCTCTCTCTCTAATAAATAAATAAATCTTTTAAAAAGAAAAGAGGGGCACCTGGGTGGCTCATTTGGTTAAGCATCTGACTTCAGCTCAGGGTTCTGGGATCGAGTCCTGCAAGGAGCTCTTGCTCAGCAGGAAGTCTGCTTCTCCCTCTCCCTCTGCCCCTCCCCCTGCTCATGCTCTCTCTCTCTCTCCTCTCTCAAATAAATGAAATCTTTAAAGACAAAAAAAGTTTGACCAAGTTGCTTGAAACGAGGCCCTGCAGGGTGAAGAGTCCGTGAAGCCGGGCGTCAGTGAGGGTGAGGGGTGACACAGCCCTTGTCAGCACCTTAAGAGCAGTCCCTGCTGCCGCCCCACTCTCTTCTTCATTCAGCCGCTTTCTCCCTCTTCATCTCCCAGGGGCCAGCATGCTGGATGGAAGTTTTATTCTCTTCACCCAAGGCCAAGCCGTCTGTATCCCGGTGAAGTTATCTAGCTTGGAAGCCCTGAGGCTCGGGGTCTCGGTCCACCCCAGATGGGGCTGGCAAGATTGAATTTCCCAGAAGTCCAGACCCATGTCACCTGCTGCCACTACCCTCTGCCCTGCTGGACCCGAACCCAGGCCTGTGTCAGTGACGCTAGCTAACACGTACCGAGTACTGACTGTGGGTCATATACCCCTCTCCCCGCCCTCCCTCGCCCCTAGAAGCTGAAGAGTTGCACTATCCTCCAGCAGTCCCATGAGTGATGACACAGGGTACAGTGTCATCTGTGTGCAGCTGGGGAGTGTGGACAGGAAGTGCTCGCCAGCAGTTTGGCTCTGGAGTTGCTCTCAGCAGCTTTCTCTGCCTCAGTTTCTGTTAGTGTTTTGAGTTTCTGGTAGTATTTTATTTTATTTTATTTACAACTATACTTTCAAAACAGGTCATTGCCCTGCGATATCCTCAGTCAAGACTGCATGGCCAAGAGGAGCTGCCCTCTCACTCTTACCACTGGGGCTGGAGGCTGGAGGGGTCACGATTTGGGATCTTGGACTGAAGTTTCTCCGTTTTCTCCATGTTGTGTTAATTTCCTCTCTAGCAAATGGGAAAAGCCAGCAGCAGGGCGTACCGCCAGCAGTCCGGGTTGGAGTGACAGTTGTGGTTTGGAGAAAGGGCTATGTGGTGGCTACAGAGAACCTGTCTCACTGCTTTTTCTCTCCTGCTCCCCCCGCCCCCCCCCCCCGTTTCCGGTGCTTTCATTCATTAGCAGACATCTGCTGAACACCTGTCCTGTGTGGAGCATTGCGCTAGGTTCTGGAGAACACTGTCCTCAGGTGGCTCCCAGTGTAGTGGGAGAGACAGTCACGACACTGAGGAGCCTGAGTATCAGGGGTTCACAGAGGCCCACTGGCTCCCTCTGCAAACTTAATGAAGTCAGGGAAGGTGGCTGGCTGAGGGTGATGTCAGAGTTCCCTGAAGGATGAGGAACAAGAGCAGCACAGGGGTTGAGACCAGAAGGTGCAGGCACCTGAGGTGACTGCAGGGGGAGAGCTGTCTGAGCAAAGGCACAGAAACTAGGAGGGGCTAAGGAAGTTCTGGGAGTTCTGGATGCCCTAGAGCACAGCTACGGGTGGAAGAAAGATCCAAACTGTGAAAGTATTTAGATGCTGTGCTGAAGAGTTTGGGTTTTATCTGGAGAGTTATGGAGAATCCCTGGAGGGTTTTGAGTAGGGTTGACATCAGATCTGCTCACTCTGGCAGCCTTGTGGAGAGGGTATCTGAGGGCATCGGGACCCAGGGTGGACAGACAAGGCTGGGGCTGCAGCAGCGATCCGGACGTCCCTGGGTCTCAGAGGGTCTCCTTTTCTCACTCTTGCAGTTGTGAGTGCGGAGGTGCTCAGAGCCCAAGAAGAATGGGAAGCTGTGGACAACATCCGAACAGAGACAGGTAACTGCAGGAATGGCACTGTGCTGCTAAGAAAGGCACCATCCATGTGTGGCTAATGTTTCTGTGACCCTGGGATTAGAATTCCTGAGAGTTCTCATTTTAGCTCCCTGACATAGAATAAAATATCTTTCCAAATCCACCTCTGGAGGAAATGGGAATGAACGCCATGGGAAAAGGGCTGCCACGTGCTCAGACCTGAGAGAAGACAGGGAGGACCTTGGTCAGGGTCTGCTTCCGCAGGGTGATGAGGTTGAGCAGAAGGATGGAGGCAGGCAGCCAGGGAGAACAGGTTGTTCACCGTACAAGGAAGTCTCTGGAGATAGGGGCTGAAGCCATGCTAGAAGGCTCTGAGGGCTGGGTAAAAATTCTCACTCCCTTTTCTGACAGGTTTGGACGGAGCTATGGGAGGGTAGAGCTCGGACCCATATCTAGCTTGAGCTCTACTTGGGCTCCTGGAAAGTCATTACGGTGGACTGTGTCAGTCATCCCCGAAATTGCTGATAACGTTCATTCCCTGTGGACTGTACCAGAAGATGGAGAGGGGGTCATCCATATACAGGGTGTGAGAAAGGGCAAAGTGGAAGTGAGGAAAGGCCCCTAAACAGACCTTGGCATGCTCCCACATGGGGACCTACTCCAGGCAGTGACTTGCCTCCTCACAGATGAGTGGAATGGGACCCCCTGCCGGGCAGATCTGTCCCTACTCACTGCAGAGGTTGACCTAGCAAGCCTCTGAACAGCCCGGTCTACGAAGGGGCCTGGCCCAGCAGAGAATGCCAGCCCCTTAAAGAAGAGTGGTTTGAGCTGTAGATATCTGATGCCTGCCACTGAAAGCCAGTGTCTGGCTTAGAGGTGACAACCCGAAGGCCCTCAGTAAATGTTCGCTGACAGAATGACCACCGTTACAAGTCTGAGAGTGTCTTCCCTTTTGCCACAGGGAACCAGGCCAGCGCAGACCAGCCTGGGCAGCTGATCTCCTTCAGTGAGGCTCTGCAGCATTTCCAGACCGTGGACCTCTCTTCCTTCAAGGTGTGGAAGTAGGGAGGTTTGGGGTCTCAGGCAAAACACCTTCTTCCCAGGAGCCAGGTTTCTATCCCACCAGCCTAGGGCACTGGGCAAGCAAGGTGGAAGCTTCCAGTTGAAGACCTTACCTCATCTAAGAAATCTTGGAGCCCAGAATCAGCAGTAGCCAAGGACCCAGGCTTCATGCAGGACCCCAGTGGCCTTTTTGGGACTGTGTCCCCAGAGCTCTTGGTGGCCCTGCCATACACAGGTCTGTGTAGCTGCTCCCTCCTCTTCCATCTTAGGGATGGGGAGGTCTGGAATCAAATGCTAGACAGTTCCTTAGGGAAGCAAGGCATTCTGTCTAGAAAGCTGAGTAAGTCATGGCCATTCACTCTTCCATTCCTTCAGGGAACCAGAAATTATTTGGGGATTTTAAAAATATGTGGGGTTGGTAAAAGAAGAAACATTGAGGAGAATAAAAGCTGGTGGGCTTTCTGGGGCATCTTGAATGACTAAGAGTAGTTTTAGAAGATTGTGATTTCAGATCTTCAACCTAAAACCTGGTTCATGGGTGATTTATGGGACTCAGAGGGCCAGAAGCTACCAAAATCAGAATATTCTAAGATCTGCAGCAGTGGCCCTTGAGCAATAAGTCAGCATGACCTGGTTTAAGAGGTGCCCTTGTGGTATGGACAGAATGCTCCAGCAAACCCTCAGGTATCTAGCTCCAAAAAGTCCCCACTAACCTCCCCTCCTCACTGGCTCTCTCACCCTGGAAGTTGAGAGGACTGCTAGGCTTTATCATTTATGCCCTCTGCAGAGAGAGAGAGACCTGCAAAAGGTAAAGCAGCCCTGCTGGGAAACCTGACCTGGCTTTGTCAGACCAAGCAGGGGTCCCCATGCCAGCCATCTCTGGCAGTCAGTGGGAAGTAGCTCTGGAGAAGCCCAAAGGAGCAAATGCGGACAACGGGCTAATAATGCCTATACTTGGGGACATCTCTTTTCTTTTCTTTTTTAAGATTTTATTTATTTATTAAAGAGAGAGCAGGAGTGGGGAGGGGGGAGCAGAGGGAGAGGGAGAAGCAGACTCCCGCTGAGCAGGGAGCTGGACGTGGGGCTCGATCCCAGGACCCCGAGATCATGACCTGAGCTGACGGCAGACGCTTAACCAGCTGAGCCACCCAGGCGCCCTGGGGACATCTCTTCTACTTACAAAAGTCCTGGGACCCAGCAGAGCCTGTCTCTAGAGATGGAGCAGGTGCTTCACAGTTCCTGCCCCCTTCCAAGGCCCAGAGACCAGCCAGTTAGTTGGCGGAGCTACTTCTTTCTGCAAGAACAGTCCCTGTACTGACCCTGATGGTAAGTTCATTAGAGCAGGTGAACCCAGGCCTCTGCCCATTGCCTGCATCTTCCTCCCCAGAAAAGAATCCAGCCAACTATTCGAAGGACGGGGCTCGCCGCCTTCCGGCACTGCCTCTTCGGGCCTCCGAAGCTCCACCAGGGTCTCCGAGAAGAAAGGGACTTGGTCCTGACCATTGCTCAGTGTGAGTGCACAGGTGCTGCCCCGAGGCAGATGCTGCGTATGTGGTCAAGCAGAGAGCACTGTTTGCCCTCCTGTTGCGGAGGCTAAGCCAGAGGTCTTGCATGTACCGTGCTGGCAGGGAGAGCGGGAGCCACGGGGTGAAAATGTAGGAGAACACAGTCTCTTGAGTACAATCCAGATCTATCTTGTCTGAACCATTCTCTGAGAAACACTCAGTCCCCCCCTGAGGGGCAGGCAGTCCGACAGAGAGTGGGGATGTGTTTTCGGGCAGGTGGCCTGGATAGCCAAGACCCAGTGCATTGCCAAGTCCTCCAGACTATCTACAAGAAACTGACTGGCTCCAAGTTTGACTGTGCCCTCCACGGAGACCACTGGGAAGATCTGGGCTTTCAGGGTAAGAGACAGCAGTTGTTCATCTTTTTTTCTTTGACCCCTGAATCCAGGACTAGAATGAGAGCCCAGATAGTCCTCTTCCTTTCGTGCTAGCGCCCTGAGGTAGGATATCCAGGGGAGAGGGTACAGGAAATGCAAAGGCCCTGAGGTGAGCATGTTTATCATGCTTGAGAATTAGCGAGGAGTGTGGCTGAAGTGGAAAGGTCCCTTGTGGCCTTATACAGGCCATTGTCGACATTTACTCTAAGAGAGATGGAAAGCATCAGAGTGATAGGATTTGGTTTTTTCTTTTTTTCTCTTTCCTTTTAACACAGATGAAAATTTTGCTTTATACTGTTTTATTTTTTGAGTGAAACAAAATTATTTCAGCTGTCTTTGGATTATGTTACTCTTTTTTCAAAATCATATCAAGTTACATTTACGTGGAATAGGAAAATGTCCTCATTTGAAAAGGAAATTTTCTGTATCCATAATTAATTGGTCCATTGGTATTGACAACATGTTTAAGTCCCTCATCTATAATATAATTATCTTATTTTCCTCCATATGCAATGAGAATCATGTCAGTGTTACGATTTTTGTTTCAACCTTCAAACAATTTAGAAAACTCAAGAGGAGGAGCAAAGTCAGCTGTATTTACCCATATGCTTACTCTTTCCACTGTTCTGTTTTCCTTTCTTATTAGTCCAAGATTTCTCCTTTTATCATTTCCTTTCATTTTCAAGAACTTCCTTTAAGCATTTTCTAAAGTAGGTCTGCTGGTGATAAATTCTCTTGGTTTCCCTTCATCTAAGGAAATCTTGATTTCCCCTTCACTCCTCAAGGATCGTTTCTCTGGACAGAGAATTCCAGGTTGACAGTTTTTTTCTTGCAGCTCTTGCAAACTGTGCTACTTGCTTCTGGCCCCCATGAGAAAGCTTCTGTCATTTGCATTCTTTCTCCCTGAGAGGCAAGGAGTTGTTTCTCCCTCTCTGCTTTCAAGATCTTTTAGAGTTTGCAGGAGTTTGACTGTGTTGTGTCTTAGTGTGGATTTCTTTGGGCTTACCCTACTGGGTTTGCTCAGCTTCTTGAATCTGTAGGTTTAATGTCATTTGCCAAATATGGTCTATCTTCAGCCGTTATTACTTCACGTGCCTTTTTTCCTTAATTCCAGTGTAGTTCACATACAATGTTACATTAGTTTCATGTGACTAATATAGTGATTGAGTAATTCCATACATCACCTAGTGCTCATCAAGATAAGTGTACTCTTAGCCCTTCACCTATTCACCCATCTCCCCATCTGCCTCCCCTCTGGTAACCATCTGTTCTCTATAGTTAAGAATCTGGGTGTTTTGTTTGTCTCTTTTTTTTTTCCCATTTGTTCATTTGTTTTGTTTCTTAAATTCCACGTGAGTGAATACTTGAAGTACTTTTCTCAGCCGCATACTTTCTCGTCTCTTGTGGGACTCAGATGACAGATGTTAGATCTTCTGTGCTGTTCCACAGGTGAGAGGCTGTGTTCATTTCTTTGGATCTCTGTTCTGTAACTCATAGATCTCCAGGGCTCTGCTCATTTTGTTTTGTTTTGTTTTTTCTCCCTATGTTCAACAGATTGGATAAGTTCTATTGTTCCATCTTCTGTTTCACCAATTCTTTCTGCTATTGTCTCTATTCTGCTCTTGAGCCCATCGAGTGAGTTTTTAATTTTAGTTATATTTTCTGTTGTAAGTTTTTTATTTGGTTCTTTATACCTGATATTTCTTTGCTGAGACTTCCTATTTTTACATTTTTTTCAAACTGTGTAATTATTTATCAAAGGCATTTTTATGATAACTGCTGTAGTAGTTTTCTATTGTTGCTGCAACAAATTACCACAAATTTAGTAGCTTGAAACAACACAAACTTATTAAAGTTAATTTATTTATTCAAGTAATCTGTACACCCAACATGGGGCTCAAGCTCACAACACTGAGATCAAGAATCACATGCTCTTCCAATGGAGCCAGCCAAGCACCCAAAAAACAAACTTACTGTCTTATAGCTCCGTAGCTCACGGGTCTGACACAGGTTCACTGGGGTGAAATCAGTGTGGCAGAGGGCTGCATTCCCTTTTGGAGACTCTAGGAAAAACTCCATTTCCTGGCCTTTTCTATCTTCTAGAGGCCACGTTCACGCCTCCTCCTCCAAAGCCAGGAACAGAGCATCTCCCTGAGCCTGGTTTTGTCCTCACATCTCTTTCTCTGATTCTGTGCTTCTGCCTCCTTTTCTCACTTTTAAGGACTCTTCTGAATACCTTGGGCCCACCCAGAGAATCCGGGATAATCTCCCTATCTGCAGATCGGCAACCTTAATTCTACCTATGATCTTAACTTCCTCTTGCCATGCAACAAAATATATTCCTAGGTTCTAGGGATTCGGACAAGGACGTCTTTGGAGGGGCCATTATTCTGCCTATAACTGCTGCTTTAAAATCCTTGTCAGGTAATTCCAACATCTGTGTTATCTCAGTGTTGCTATCTATTAAGTATCTTTTCTCATTTGAATTAAGATTTTCTTAGTTCTTGATGTAACAAATGATTTTTTTTTGTTGTATCCTGGACATTTGGGGTATTACGTAATGACACTCTGGATCTGCTGTAAACCTTTTATTTTAGCAGGCATCCTCTGACACCGCGCCAGTGGGGGAAGGAGGGTGTCACCTCATTACTGCTGGGCAGGGGTAGAAATTTAGGTACCCCATTTGGCCTCTGCTGGTTCCACTGGCTAAGAGGGGGCACAGGTGCCTCATTACATGACTCATTACAGGAGTCCCATGTGGACTCCACTGACATCACAAGGGTGTGGGGCTCAGTCCAGGCTCCCCAATATGCTCACACTACCTTGGTGAAGCTAAGGGGCACCTCATTACAGTCAGGCAGGGGTGGCCAAGCCCTTGAAGCTCATGGGAGAAGGGACTTCATTTGGCATTGCTCACCATCACCCTTCAGTTACTCATCTTGGTTACAGGAGCGAATCCAGCCACAGACCTGAGAGGAGCAGGCTTCCTTGCCCTCCTGCACCTGCTGTACCTGGTGATGGACTCAAAGACCTTGCTGATGGCCCAGGAGATTTTCCGCCTGTCTCGTCACCATATCCAGGTGGGGCTTTGCGGGGAAGCCAGAGGAGAGGGCTGTGGAGACTTTGTGGGTGCAGGGTGCTCCTAAGCAATCAGGAGGGCCTCACGGGGGCTGTCCGTAGTTGCTCAAGGCTCTCAAGACAGCCGAGGCAAACCAGGGCCAGGCTTCCCCCGCTAGCCTGACCTGCGCTAGAATCTGAGCTCCACCACTTGTTAGCGTGTGTCTCAAGCAAGTGTTTCAACTCAGAGCCTTGGTTTTTTCATCTGTAGGATGGAAATCATGGACACTTTAGCTGGACAATTAGGAAAATTAGATGTGTACAAAGGCACTAGGCATAGCTGTGATGCTAATGTGTCAACTCACTGTCCTCCCTGAGGACACCCCTTAAACAGTACTAATAGGTTCTCCTAACCCTGAAGGAGGAGAGGTCGCCTGTATGTGCCCCAGAGGAGATCTACCTGTGAGGGTCAAGGGACACATGGTCTTACTGATAGGCCAGAAGTGGCTTCTGTAGCCTTTGGTTTGTCCAAGCCTTCTCTGGTGTTGGGTTTAATGGTTTTCCCAGGCAGTAAAAGGTGGTAGTCCCGCTGTTTTAGAAAACAAATCTGTCCCATATCCTGCCATTCACCTATGCCACATGCTGGCACCTGGAATTCATCCACTAAACAAATTTCTATTCAGCATTCCCTATGCTAGTTATTGTGCTTAGTGCTTGCGGTACATCAGTGGACAACGATCCTTCTACCAGAGAAGACAAGGCAGTGAGCCTAACACATAAATGATAGAGTACATTCAAAGGTGGTGAGTGCTAAGGAGAAAAAACAAGTAGGGTAAGGTTAGGAGAATATGGAGAGTATTTTATGGGGTGCTCAGGGTAGCTCTCACAAGAGGGTGAGAGGTAAATCAGACCTTGAAGGAGGTGAAGATGTTAGCCCAGTTGGTGTCTGGGGGAGAGCATTCCACACACAGGGAGCAGCTAGAGCAAAGGTCCTGAGGAAGGAATGTGTCTGGCACTTGAAGGGGTAGCAGGGAATCAGCTGGAACAGAAGGAGCCCAGGAGAGCAGTCAGAAGGGAGGTCCTACGGCTAACAGGGACCAGACGGCAGAGGGCCTGGTAGGCTATGATAAGCACTTTTGATTTTACTCTGAATAAAGTGAGGGTTTTCACAGCCTGGAATACATGATCCAACCTAACACTTTTAAGTGTATCGTATCAGCTACTAGGTTGAGAATAGTCTATAGTGAGGGCTTTTATAATCAAGTCAGAGATGATGGGTATTTTCAGAGGAGGTGGTGTGAAGTGGTCAGATTCCAGATGTAGAATCTTGAGCTTATGGGCTTAAGAAAATAGAGCCAATTGGGGTGCCTGGCTGGCTCAGTTGGAAGAGCATGTGACTCTTGATCTCGGGGTCGTGAGTTCAAGCCCCACACTGGGAGTAGAGTTTACTTAAAAAAAAAAGAGAGAAGGAAGGAAAGAAAAAAGAAAGAAGGAAGGAAGGAAAGAAAGAAAAGAAAGAAGGAAGGAAAGAAAGAGGGAAAGAAAGAAAAAGAAAGAAAGAAAGAAAAAGAGAGAATGAAAAGGAAGGAAGGAAGGAAAGAAAGAAAGGAAAGAAAGAAAAAACCAGCATCTTTTTCTCATGGATTGATGATGGGTGTGAGAAAAAGAGATTTTTAGTCTGAGTAACTGGAAAGAGAGAGTGGCCATTAACTGAAATGGAAAAGAAGGAGCAAGTTTGGGTGGGGTTCAGTTTGCCATACAAATTTCAGATTGAGGTTTTGCATTTTTGGCAAGAACACCGGGAGTGATGTACCCTTCTCTGTGCCTCAGCTCGGAATGTCTTACTACTGGGGTGGTTGGCTTGGGTCGTATGGTTAAGGTGATGTCTGCCAGGTTTCTCCACTGTAGTTATTATTTTTCCCTTTGTAATTAATGAGTATCTTGGGGAAGATACTTTGAGACTGTGCAAATATTCTGTTTTTCCTCAAACTTTGTTCTAATGGTGGATTTCTGTTTCCTTCATTTTCTCTCACATTTATTAATTGGAAGAATTCCAATTGTCTGTGTTCTTCTATTTATTTATTCATTCAGTTACTTTTTATATCAATGTGGGCTCCTGGATATTTATTTTATTCTATGGGTTATAACCCAGTACTATTGTTACTTATTTTGTTGCTCACATTGTTTCAGCTTTGGCCATTTTAGAAGCTCCTTCAGGTCAGCACTTGCGCCCTTTCCTATGCCCTGTTTTGTTTTGTTTTTTAATAAAGATTTTATTTATTTAATTTAGAGAGACAGAGACAGAGATAGAGAGAACATGAGCAGGGGAGGGGTGGAGAGGGAGAAGCAGGCTCCCCGCTGAGCAGGGAGCCCGATGTGGGGCTCGACCCCAGGACCCTGAGATCATGACCTGAGCCAAAGGCAGATGCTTAACAACTGAGCCACCCAGGCGTGCCCCCCCACCTCATACCCTGTTTTGAGCACTTTTTGGCTCTCTGGACACCAGAAGATGCCATCTTATATTTTCCCTGTATGATTTCCAGCCCTGGAATTAACCACTTCTCCAAGGAGCTCTCGCTCCTTTAATTGGAGAATGACATTTAGAAAGTGCGAGCGGAGGGCCAGGTATGCACGCTGCTCGTAAGTCCTCACCCTTCTAGGCCCTCTGAGTGGACGGAGCCTGCAATCTACGTCTGTGGCAGCTCTGGTAGGAGCGGCCTGAGGTGGGGAGCTCGCCTGTCCCGCCCCGGCTGCCCGGATACTGCCTGAGGGAGAGGAGTCCGCGAGTAAGGGGCTGAAGGTCACACCTGCAACATCGCAGTCAGATCATTTTACCTCAGAGGGCTGGAGTTGGTCAGGCCGGGGTTGCCAAATCAGACTGTTGCAGTGACTGCGTTGTTGGCCACGTGACGTAGTTCTCACGGGGTCTGCTGCTGCTTTTGTAACATGGGAAAATAATCCCAACCCTGCAGAATTATTCTGGGTTGGAGATAAACTATGTGAAGTGTCAAGCGCATTAGTCATTCGGTGAGTGTCCGTTATCAAGGTAACTTTTGATTTTCAAGAGTAAAAATACAGCACACACACACACATACACAACACACGCACGCACGCATGCGCGCAACACAACCGTTGGTAAGGTAGATGCCTTATTTATTTATTTATTTATTTTTTAAAAGACTTTTTATTATTTGAGAGAGAGAATGAGAGACAGCACGAGAGGGAAGAGGGCAGAGGGAGAAGCAGAGCCCCCACTGAGCAGGGAGCCCGATGTGGGACTCGATCCCGGGACTCCAGGATCATGACCTGAGCCGAAGGCAGTCGCTTAACCGACTGAGCCACCCAGGCGCCCACGTTTTTTATTTTTAATTTATTTATGTGTGTGTGTGTATCTTAGGTGGATCCCTTTTTTTAACCCAAAAGTTCTTGAATACAGAACAAATAATCATATGGTTCCTGCCACTGGGGCAGTTTTTCATTTCTAATGTCTACTCAGTATCTCTGTATATTTTTGGGAAAAGCACCTATTAAATCTTAAGGCTCGGGCGCCTGGGTGGCTCAGTCGGTTAATCATGACTCTTGGTTTCAGCTCAGGTCATGAGATCGAGCCCTCCATCAGACTGCACTCAGCATGGAGTCTGCTTGCCCCTCTCCCTCTGCTCCTCTCCTTGCTCATGCTTTCTCACTCTCTCTCAAATAAAATCTTTAAAAAAATTTTTAAATAAAAATGAAAAAATAAATCTTAAGGCTTCACTTATGCCTGTCTATTCCAGGAAACACTGGAGGAGGCAAGAGTGGGACTTCATGAGTATCTGGTCGTGAGATATATTGAGGCCCCACAAGTTGAGAATGTGGGCATTTTCTGTGGTCTTCATGATGCAGGGAGGTAATTTCTGGGTTCAGTTTGAGAACTGTACCTGTTAGCTTCTGCAATGATGCAGTCTTGTGCAGCAACACTGCTTCACCATAATAGACTCCCAGAGGTTGAGGAGTACCTCAGCAATCCAGCCCCTCGGAAGTGCTTATAGTTCAAGGAATTATACAATAAATCTTATTTTGTTTTATTTTATTTTTTAAAGATTTTATTTATTTATTTGACAGAGAGAGAGACAGCAAGAGAGGGAACACAAGCAAGGGGAGTGGGAGAGGGAGAAGCAGGCCTCCTGCGGAGCAGGGAGCCCGACGCGGGGCTCGCCCCCAGGACCCTGGGATCATGACCCGAGCCGAAGGCAGACACTTAATGACTGAGCCACCCAGGCACCCCTATTTTATTTTTTAAAAGATTTTTTTCATTTATTTGAGAGAGCATGAGCATGAATGGGGGGAGGGGCAGAGGCTCCCCACTGAGCACAAAGCCCTATGAGAGGCTCCATCCCAGAACACCGAGATCATGACCTGAGCTGAAGTCAGACGCTTAACCCAGCTGAGCCATCCAGGCACCCCCAGCCCTTCACTTTAGATGGAGGCCCAGAGAAGGGAAGTGACTTGCCGAAGGTCTTACAGCTAATTAATATTTCCTATAGGTCGTCTCTGACCTCAGGGTCTCCCTTCTTGTGATTTATGAAGGCTCTCTTATAAGAGCTTCCTGCAGAAATATGGAAGCCAGGATAGAGGGTTATCGCCAACCCAGAATTCCTCATTTGAATGAGGGGAGGGAGCAGGCCATTCAGATACCTGTGGGAGGAGCATCGCAGGCAGAGGCAGCAGCAGGATGAGAGGAGATACTGGGAACTTGATCAGCAGGGACCCAGACTGACCAGTTTGGCCAATCTGTTTCTCATCCCTTCACCTTCTGGCCTCTGTGGGATTTACTGGGGATTTATGTTTACTCCTCCACAATATGCATGTCAGACAAGAAGATAGAATAGCAGCTTAGCCTAATAAAGTAAGAGGGCTGGCACAGGCAGCAGGAAGCTAGACGCTAGTTCCATCTGTATTATTGAGCTATGATTTGAGACGAGTCACTTAGTCTCTCTGGGCCTTAGTTTGGCCTAAACAATTCCAAGGTCCCTTCCAGATTTATTGTATAATTCCTTGAACTATAAGCACTTCCAAGGTTTTATTTTTTTTTTTTATTTTTTTTAAAGATTTTATTTATTTATTTGAGAGAGAGAATGAGATAGAGTGAGAGCATGAGAGGGGGGAGGGTCAGAGGGAGAAGCAGGCTCCTCGCTGAGCAGGGAGCCCGACGTGGGACTCGATCCCGGGACTCCAGGATCATGACCTGAGCCGAAGGCAGTCACTTAACCAACTGAGCCACCCAGGCGCCCACTTCCAAGGTTTTAAAGTAACACTTGACCTCGAGCCCTTATGAATCTTGAAAACACCATTTTCCAGGAGGTGTGTGTGAGATCAGAGGAGCAGCTGGGGGACACCACCCCTGCCCGCAGCCAGTCCTGTTCTCTCCTGAGGGGAGGACTAAAGTTCCAGGTACCCGTGGTACATCCTGCTAAAGGGGAACTGGCCCAAAAATACAAGTGCCAGGGTGGGAGGAGGGCAGACTCCCATGAGTCCCAGCAGGGCTTAGCCCACGCCATGCTGAGAAGTGGAGCTCTTACACAAACACAGAGGCACAGGGCCCATCGGGCTACTTGCTGGTGGGTGAGGAAGCACCTTCTAATTGTGCTTAGTCACACACACACACTTCTTTGGCCTTCTGAGCAGTCTCCATCCATTGTTTCATTCCGCCGACATGACAGGCCGGCGAAGAGATAGGGCAGCGATGATCCTTGCAAATCTGTTTTCCAGCAAAGGAATGTGAGGGTCAGAGAGGTAAAGCTAGTAAGTGGTGAAGCTGGGCCTGGGACCCGCCTCCTGACAGCAGGCCTAGCAGTGGGCTCCTTACAGCAGCGGTGGTCAGCCAGCAGCCCACTTCAGAGGCCCAGGCCCCTCCCCAAAACTACTGGGTTGAAACTCCAGGGCTGCTGAAACCGTATCAGCAGCCCCCACAAAAGATGACTCGGTCTTCCTTGCTTTAGGATTCAAAGGTGGTTAAGCCCGAGTGTGAGGAATGAAGAGAAATGAAATCTTAAATGGAAACTCAAAATGGTCCAGGTCTGATGTTCTCTGCTGTCCCTCAGTCCATTTCCTAAACACAGCCTCCAGGTGGTATTTTGGCTCCAAGCAACACTTTTCAGGGCCAATGGAACTGCTGGAGAAAAGGAGACGTTTAGATCTGAATTCCAGTTTTTCCCTACTTTTTAATAAGTGGGCTTGGTAAGAATGTTCCCAAGAGTGAGTGAATGCTAGTTTTAGATCCTCTGTTAATTATGTTGCTACCATATTCTTGTTCCTATATTTATTTTTAGACTGAGAGAAGGCAAGGGAGGGGGCAGTCTTATACAAGGATGTGGTAGGTAGGCAGTACGTGAAGGCATGACTGCGTGGCTGCGGACCTCAGCCACTCACGCTGGGGCAAGGGTAACGATGGTGGGCAGTTGTTAGCACCTCCTCGGGCCAGCCCTGTGCTTAGTACTGTGCATATGTGATCGAAATTACTTCCGACAAGAACTCTGGGAGTGGGTCCAGGGAGAGATAATAGAAAATGTGAACTGTAGGTAATGAAACCTATCTTGTAGAGTGTATGTGATGTTAGTGACTTGACCCCACCCAGCATGGCACGTGTGTCAGGGTCCCCAGGACCACCCCCAGTTCGATGATGCGCTGGGAGGACTCACGGGACTTGGCCTGTAGTCGTACGCATAGCTGTGATTTAGTCCAGCAAAAGCAAAACCAGCAGAGGGAAGGAGTGCATGGGACAAATCTATTGGAAATCAGGCATGGGCTTCCTCCCAAGAGTCCTCTCCCAGTTGAATCACACGGCACATGCTTAATTCCTCCAGCATCGAATTGTGCAGCACGGGAAACGTTGTCAGCCGGGGGAGCTCAGTATAGAGAGATTCAATGCCCAAGGTTTTTATGGGGGGCAGTCGTGCACACACCATCTGTGTAGCACATACCCAAATGCCAGAATCACAGAGAAAAGGCAGATATTCAGCATAAACCATATTGTTTGTACAGACAGCTGAGGCGCATGAATCATCCTGAGGGAATGGTGGGAACCCTCCTCAAATCCAGGTTCCCAGGTGCCAGCCAGGGGCCACCCTTGCAAGCAGGCCTTTCTAAAGACAGAGTCTCAGATCCTGGTGCGTTAACTCTCTCCTGCACAGCACTCAAAGGTACTTCCTTTTTGGTTTTAAGAAATGGAAAAGCTAGGGCACCTGGGTGGCTCAGATGGTTAAGCGTCTGCCTTCAGCTCAGGTCATGATCCCGGGGTCCTGGGATTGAGTCCCGCATCGGGCTCCCTGCTAGGCAGGGAGCCTGCTTCTCCCTCTGCTTCTGCCTCTCTCTCTCTCTCTCTCTCTGACTCTCATGAATAAATAAATAAAACATTAAAAAAATTAAATTAAAAAAACTTAAAAAAAAAAAAAGAAATGGGAAAGCTAAGTCTCATACAGTGCAGGTGGCCTTCCTAAGGACACAAAGCCAGTAGGTGGTCAGGCCAAGATCTGGAACCCAGATGCCACAGAAGACCCCGAGAAAAGTCTTTATGGAGCAGAAGACCCTCGACAGTTCAGTGCCGTCAGATAGAACTTTCTGCAGTGAAGAGGCGGTAATATATCAGCACCGTTCGAAATAGTAGCTACTGAGCGCATGTGGCTATTGAGCACTTGAAATATGGTTAATAGGACTAAAGAGTTGAGGTTTTTTCAACTAAGGAGTTGCATTTTTTAAATTTTGCTTAATTTTTTAAAAACAATTTTATTTATTTGAGAGAGAGCGCGCACAAGCAGGGCGGTGGGCGGGGGGGCAGGGGCAGAGGGAGTGGGAGAAGGAGACTCCCCACTGAACAGGGAGCCTGACACGGGGCTCGATCCCAGGACCCTGAGATCATGACCTGAGCCAAAGGCAGACAGTTCACCGACTGAGCCACCCAGGTGCCCCAAAGTTGTTTAATTTTTAATTAATTTAAACTTAAATGGTTCTCTGTGTCTACTTGCTGTCATACTGGACAGCACAGTTATGCATCATAATGTAATGGCTTTTCTTCTCAGGGGAAGCAGATGGGATAGACTTTGGCTCTTGCTCTAAACTAATGAGTGCACTGATCTGTGGGTCCCTCTCAGTGGGTGTCCTTGGGTATGTGCAGCAGTGGAAACTAACATGTAATATATGGAAATGCCCTGGGAAAAGCCCTTGTTCATTTTCTTAGGTTTTGTTATTAAAGAATAGGAAGGATGGGGCACCTGCGTCGCTTGGTGGGTTTAGTGTCCGACTCTTGGTCTCAGCTCAGGTCTTGATCTCAGGGTCATGAGTTCAAGCCCCGCTTTGGGCTCCACACTGGGCATGGAGCCTACTTAAAAAAAAAAGAGAAAAGAAAAAAAAGGAGCTTGCCCCTCCAAAAATAAAGCATTAAAGTAGACCCCACAGTGGATTCTGAGGCCCCTCCTGGGGAAGCAGCCCCGGTGAACCCCATGCTGCCCTCTCTTTGACCCGCACAGCTAGTTCTCAGGCCTCCATTATTGACAAATGGGGTGTGCCAGCAAGTCAGGTTTTTACCTGCTTTGTGCCTGTGCCATCTCTACTTTTGAATGAAGTGCTTATGAGCAGTCAAATAAGATGCCTAGGAAAGGGGAGAAGAGATTGTAGGCACCTGTACGGCCAGATAACCAAGCCTCACCCTGCCTGTGTTCAGCCTGACCCCAGGGGGTGGTGTGGTCCTTGGGCAGCACCACGGTGGGTCTGGTGAATGAAGGCCAAGGACAGCCCATGGGTCGGGATGGTGAAGAGGCTGAAGAGCTTGCACGGGGTTATGCCCGCCAGCCTGCGTGTAAATTATCCTCAGTTGGAATCCTGGTTCCACCTCCTCGGGAAGCTCTTTTCGGGTCCCTGAGTCCCAGCTTCCTCATCTGGGAAATGGGAGGATTATTGGGAAAATCAAGTGTGAACATCAGCAATGTCAGCTGCCGCCTCCCGGCCATGGTTGTCACTGCTGCCAGGGGGCCTTGCTGGGTTGTGGGTGGCGGGCCCAGAAGCCAAGAGCCGGGGCTGCCACTGACCCTCCTTGCCCGCTCCATTCCAGCAATTCCCCTTCTGTTTGATGTCCGTGAATATCACCCGCATCGCAATCCAGGCATTAAGGGAGGAGTGCCTCTCCAGGTGAGTCCCCTCTCCAGGTGAGTCCCTGCACTGCAGGCCAGCCCCCCCCCCACCCCGCCCCAGACTGCTGGCTGGCTGACCAGAAGGACGCAGCAGAGCCTGGTTCCCTCCCGCTCCCACCGCATTCTCCCAGCTCGTTCTGGAGACCTGCAGCTCCCCAGGGAGCCAGGACAGAGCCCCTCCCCCCCCACCACCAAAACCAGTCTCCCAACCCTGCCCTGGTGGCGAAGGCTGCCTGCGGAATGGCTCCCTGGGGGAGTCGGGCCAGCGGAGGCACCCAGCTGTCAGCCGTGGTCCGTGGTCCGCTGCTGAGCACACTGCCCCCCTTGTGCCATAGGGAGTGTAACCGGCAGCGAAAGGTGATCCCAGTGGTGAACAGTTTCTATGCCGCCACCTTCCTCCGCCTTGCACATGTCTGGAGGACGCAGGAGAAGACCATTGCTGACTCTGGCTTTGTCCTCAAAGGTGTGCTCTTTCTTCTTGGAGAGACCTGAACTCCCTAGCGTGTCCCCACTCCCCACCTGCCCAGGTTCAGGGACCTCAGTGTGGTTGCTAGACTAATTTGGGCTACAGTTCCCTTCCCCCTAACCGCCCTCCCCCCCCTACTTTCTCAAGCTCCAGCTTCTCAAAGTCTCCATCAGCCCACCACCCTCTGGGGCCTGCTAGCTCCCCTTTCTCTGCACCCCCCTCCTCCCTTCTGGCCTCAGACTGAGGGTGGTCATATTTTCTGAATCAAAAGTTGGGTCCAACAGTTGGACTGGCCATTCAAAGTTGAGACTGTCCTGGTCAAGGTAGAAAGTGTGGTTGCTGTGGCTTTATTTGGTCCATCATCCTCCCTCTCTGGTGAGCTCTCCACCTTAGAAGACTCCTTCACCCTCCACTCCACAGGGTCTAGGATGGGGGTACTGCCTATGGCTGCTGGGCCCGGACTGGTGTGCAGTCCAGAGCCCCGTCAAGCCTTTTGTTCTCCAATCCTCTGTTCCAGACTTGGAGGTGTTGGCCAAGAAGAGCCCCAAGCGGCTGCTCAAGACCCTGGAAATCTACCTGGCTGGAGTGTCAAAGGGACAGGCCTCATTGCTGGGAGCACAGAAGTGCTTTGGGCCACAAGCCCCTCACTCCAAGGATCTCACCTTCACAGGCGTGTGCGACCTGCCGCCACATTCATCCGAAGGCATGTGGCTGATCTGACCAGCCCAAGGCTGACAGAGACTTAAAAGATGGGCCACAGGGGCATTGGGAGGGTGCACGGCGCATTATGCCAGGCGTACCCGGGCTGGGCCTGGTCAGGGAAGCCAAGGACCCTCACCCATGTGAGACATTAGGGATAGTTAGACCCACCCTGCTCCCCACAGACCCGCCTCCAGGGCAAGGATTTGCCAGAATTGGAGTTGAGCTAGTTGAGAGTTGGCTTCCAGGTAATCTCGATGAGTGGATGGATCATAAGGTGGGAAGGCCCTGCCTGGATGTTCCCCGTATGCCCACGCTGAGAGATATTCCCACGCCGAGGTGCCAGATTCTGGCTCGCTGGGCAGCTGGGCTCTCAGGCCTTGGGTGTCCACAGGACCAGGACCCTGGAGCTAGAATTTGAAGGGAGAAGGTAGCCGTGGCAGCAGCCAGCAGGGGGCAGCATGAACCAGGGCAAGAGGCCTTCTCTCCATCCTCTCCCCATCCCTCAGCCCCGCTGTTGATGACACAGAACCGGCTGTCTGGTAGGTGTCTCCATTGCTGCCCATCCCAACTGCCCACCAGCTGGGCACCCCCTTGCTCACACTCCCCACCCCGTGGAGGTGTGTAGTTCCCATCAGGGATGGCTTTCTGGCCTGGTTGAAGGAAGGAGGAAATTCACACACCAGCAGTTTTTGAATAAAAGAATTGTTCCAGGTCAAGGGCCCCAGTGGTTTTCCTCCAAGACAAGCCTTGCCCTTTCCTGTGGCCTTGTTGTTCCAGGGCCTGGTGAGAGCCAGGGGCTCCAGGAGAGAAGGTTGCTCTGCCCTGGCCAGGCTCCCACCGAGTGTATATGGTGTCCATCCTGCACTTAGAGGCCAAGACTCCTTGTGCACTCTAGCCAGGGGGCAGGGCGGCCCTGGCTCTGGTTAAGATTGCTGTGTTTTTTCCTACATTGGCTTCTGGGGAAGCCATTGTAGGAAACATTCCTCATGTTTTTTCCTACATTGGCATCTGGGGAAGCTAGTAGCTCTGTTGCTCCATTCCTCCAGGCCAGGGTATCCTGAGCTGGGGAGACCCCACTACACCACTCTCCTGTCCTCTGTACTCCGTCAAGTAGACCCATGAAGACCACGGTTTCGCCCCTGCACGCTTCTCCAATTCTAACCCACCAGAGCTGCGGTGCATTGCAGAGGCGGGACGACACATAGCCACCCTGGTATGGCAGAGGACTCCCCACTGCTGTTAGCAGGATGCCTCAAGGGCAGGGCGGTAACGGATGGCAGTTTGCCTGCGCCATCTTGGCCCAACCTGAACTCATCCTTTGTCCACTTTACTTCCTCCAGCCTGGGTGCTTAGTGGGCCTGCAGGGTGGCCAACAGCTTCCTGGGCTTGGTGAGGCTGGGACGCAGAAAGGCTGTGGCTCAGCCTCCACTTCAGAGTGTCCGTTCCGTAGCTCCTCCCCTGCAGGTTCCTTCCGCTTGCTCTCAGACCAGGCTAACCCCGGAGACCCGACCGTGAATGCCCAGCCTGCACTCTGGCCGGGAACCAGTCCATGTGGGCTTCTAGCTGGAGGGGAGGCCAGTGGCCTCTGCAAGAGCCCTTTCTAACCAAGTCACTCCCTGTGTAATGTCCCCAGAGTGCTCAGCTTCAGACCTTGGGACATTAGCAACAACGTTGTCCAGGGATTAAGTTGTGGTTCTCTTGGGGAAGGGGGAGGGGGGCCGAAACCCTTTGAAAGTAGATGCAAGAATCTTAACCTGTGCATTTTATTTAGGAAGGGCCTATCTAGGCCTTCCATGGGAGATGTAAAATGCTTCACAACCCTAGAAAGTCAGGAGCTGGTGCCCCCTTCTTCGCTCTCCTTTGCAAATCATCCCAGGCACATGCTGTCTGTGGAGGCTGTCGGGTGGACCACTGCACAGCTCCTCAGAGAGAAGTCGGGGGGGTACACAGAGAAGCGGACTTTCCTGTGCTGTTTTGCACAAAATCAGGATGAACGTGGTTAGAGTATGTTGGGGATTGAAGAATCCAGCTGATCAGAGCTCAGAAGCCGCATCGCCCTTGGGGCCCAGGGGTGGGAGTGGGTCAGGACAGCTGCAGCAGCTCAGCCTGGCCTCCTGAACTCCAGTCCAGACTTACCAGCCTTGCTCCTGCCCCCGGATCCTGCCCTTCCGGGTGGGAGCACTTTGAGTTACTCCGTTCTCCTATTTGGCTCTCTAGCCTGATACTCCAGCCACCGCCCCATGATACGGGAGAATGAACTAAGGCCTAGACAAGGAAGAGCAACTTGCCCAGGAGGACACGGAGGCAGGTAACATCCGATGCAGACTCCGTGACTCTCCACACTCGTCTGGGGCTTTCCCCGGCCCTACAGTGGCCCCGCGCTCGTCGGCCTAACGTGATGTGATGCGCCCATGCGGTGACAAGCCAGACTTGGCGCGCAGCGGCAAGAAGTTGTCCTCTTGGTCGGCAAGCGTGTCGTTTGGGAGCCGCCTCACAGTGCTTTCTCAGGGCAGCTGAGATCCTGGCTCAAGCAGAAGGGCGTCCCGAGCCTGCTGCCCCAACCTCGTCCCAGCGGGGTGTGCGGCTGAACTGAACCCTGGCTGCAAGCAAAGCCGGGGCCCAGTGCTGGCCCCTTCCCCACCGGTTCCCAGCAGTCCCCGCCAGCCCTCGGGGAGCTCCGGGCCCCACTGCCTCCATGGTGCCAAGTCCGCTCCAGACCCTGAGCTGGGCAGCGGGCGGCCACCGGGTCCTCCTCTGCCCCAGCCCGTGGATAAGGCCCGGTGACTAGCGGGGGGAGTGAGGAGTAGCTCAGGGCAGGCAGTGAGGGCAGAGAGCGGGGAAAGCACTTGTCTCCTTTATTGAACAGCCTCGGGGCCACCTCCGCAGGGGCCAGGCAGCCGGAGGAGAAGAAAGCGGGCAGGAGGCGGGGGGCGCCCCCCCTCATTTCCAGTCCTTGAAGAATTGCTTGAAGATGGGGCTCTCCCGGCCCTGGGGCAGAATCTCCACCTGCAGGGAGAATGGGGGAGAAGTCTAGCCCACGAGGTTCCCACTTCTGCCTCCACCAGGCAAGGCCGGAGCGGAGCCACGGAGGAGGGTGCTGGGCGCCGTCCCGGCCAGGTATGCCCCTGACCGAGAAATAAGCCAAGAGATGGGACACGGGCTGAGAAAACAGATTGCTTCAAGCACTGGGGTGCGCAGTTCGAGAGACGCACCAGTCATCGATAAGCCTTATCAGCTCCCCTCGGAATGACTCGTGGAGTCGCTGTGCTGGAGCAATGGAGGCAGGACGAGCCGGGACAAGGGCCCAGAGCAGGCACAAAAGCTGCCCACACCAGGCTCTGGGCTGCCACGTGAGTGCTGCCCAACATCCTCTCAGGAAACACCGCGTACTTTTGGGGCGCCTGGGTGGCTCAGTCAGTCGAGCATCTGACTCCTGGTTTCGGCTTAGGTCATGATCTCAGGGTCGTGAGACTGAGCCCTGCGCTGAGCAGAGTCTGCTTCTCTCCTTCTCGCTCCCTCCACCCCTCCCCCATCTCGTGCTCGTGCACAAGCGCGCTCTCTCTCTCTCTCTCTCTCAAATAAATCTTTAAAGAAGGAAAAGAAAACACCATGTACTTTTATTTTTTTTTTATTATTTTTTTTTCTAAAGATTTTATTTATTTATTTGAGAGAGAATGAGAGAGAGCATGAGAGGGGGGAGGGTCAGAGGGAGAAGCAGACTCCCTGCCGAGCAGGGAGCCCGATGCGGGACTCGATCCAGGGACTCCAGGATCATGACCTGAGCCGAAGGCAGTCGCTTAACCAACTGAGCCACCCAGGCGCCCCACCATGTACTTTTAAATGTTGAAGGACTAAAAAGGGCTTTCGCACTGGAGGGGGCCGGTAGCGAGGCCTGACCATTCCTGACTGTGCCCGGGGATTTGCTGCCCTTCTTGTCTGGTCTGCAGGGGCAAGAGGCCGCAGGAGGAGCCCCAGGAGGAGGGGGTGGGGCACCCAGGTATCTCCTCACCTGAGTGTTGGGGGCATATCGCATGCGGGAGATGAAGTCCTCGGCCACTTGGAGAGCCGCCTGCCGCTCCTTCTCGTTAGCTTTTCGCCCTGGATTAGTTGGAAGGGGATTTATTTATTTATTTGTTTGTTTTTAAAGATTTTATTTATTTGACAGAGAGAGACACAGAGAGAGAGGGAACACAAGCAGGGGGAGGGAGAAGCAGGCTTCCCACAGAGCTGGGAGCCGGATGCGGGGCTCGATCCCAGGACGCTGGGATCATGGCCTGAGCCGAAGGCAGACGCTTAACGACTGAGCCATCCAGGCACCCCAGAAGGGGATTTTTTTTTAAAAAGAGTAGGGACCCTCTCTAGCCCACATCCCATTTTCTCAAGGAAACTTAAGGGAGGGGTCCATAGAATAGCCGGCAACTTTTAAAATAAACAGACTAGGAGATGCTAAGATGCCAAGGAGTCTTTGGAGGTGTGAAGTCAGCTCCTGGAGACTTCCACCCCGGCAGCTCCGTGGGATGAAAACTGTTCTTTCTGCCTGCTCTAATCAAAACCGCCTGCTTGGACCAGGGCCCCACGGATATGCAGGATTAGTGTTCCCAGTGGCCTGAGACTCTAAATCAAGAGCCCCACCCTGGGACACCTCACCAGGGGAGTCTGTCAACTGTACTGCTGACAAGTATCAACAAGTATCAGGCCTTTTGTGTAAAACGAAATAGGACAAAAGGGTGTGATTTATTATAATCTCACTCCCATAATGCCAGACAGCCATTAGGCCTGCCACCTAAGAGCTTATAAAAAGGAAGAACATACAGTTATCCATTCCCTCCTGTGGGCTGTCCCTCTACTGCAAGATGTGCTCCAGTGTAAGGCAAGATACTTCTCTTCCTGGCTCCCAATTTTCTTGTTGTTGTTGTTTATTTTTCCTCTGGTTTCTCTTTCCAAAATGGTTCAGTTCTTTGCTTGGGGTTAAATTCCCTCCCGTGGGCATCTGGGAACCCCTCAAGCTCGGAACCGGTTCCATGGGAAAGGTACCCTGTGGCAGGAGGGCAAGGGCAGCCCCAGGACCCCATCTCCAACCACCCCCACCCCAGCTCGTAGAAAGCTGCCATGCTCCTTGCTGCTCTGGGCCTTCCCTGAGCCCAGAGTATTACTGGCCAGGAGCAGCTACCCTGGGAACGCCTCATCCTTCCGCATCTTCCTCACCAAGCTAGGGCTGCGGGTTTCTCTCGGCTTTGGTTGCCCCCACAAATATTTACTGAGCAAGTGCTATTTCGTCACGACACCAGAGATGATATGGTTCCTGCTTTCAGGAAGGTTATAATCTGGTCAGGGAGGTAAGACATGCTCGAGAAAAGACAAGCATGGAGAAGTAAAGAGGTTCCCAGGGTCGGTCAGAGACTCAGAGCTTTGTTTCACCATTTTCAGAGTTAGACCAAGCAAACAGGCTTATACACAACAGTGTTTCTATCTCCAGCCAATACAATTTCTTGGAAAAATGAGTTCTACTAGTTCATTACCCAGGGCACAAAGTGAGATTTAATTTAAATCTCTCCGTCACACCCCAAGGCAGAATGGCAAGACTGGGGTCCCAGCAGCCCCGAGGGCTTACGGCTGCTGTAGGACAGCAGTTCTCAAAATGTGATCCTGGACCTCCAGCAAGGCCTGGGACCCAGCTGGATATGCAAATTCTTTGGTGGTGTTGGGGGGTGCGGGGCGCCCAGCCATCTGTCCTAACAGGCCCTCCGGGGATTCTAAGGCTTGCTGATGTTTCAGAAACTTTGCCTGGAATTTAGTGGGGGGAGCAGCAAAGAGAAAAGGCTCAGTGGCTCCCTGAGGCTGTTTTTGAAAGCAGTCAGGCAGGCTGAGCCCTTCAGGGGGAGCAGCTGCAGGGGCCCCAGGCTAGAATGGAGAAGCCACTGTACCCTTCCAGATGTAGATCTTGCCACAGAGCCCGTTGTCCAGCACGAAGCAGTCATCCGACAGCAGCAGCTCAAGGGCAAAGGGACTGGAGTCGGCCACCCTGGTCAGGTTCATCTGTCCGGTGGCATCAGAGACCTGGGGGACGATGGGCAGTGCCAGATGCCATGCCCTGCCCCCAGCACACAGCCCCAACCTCCGCCCCTAGACCACAGCCCCCATGGTCCCCACTCACAGCCCCTGCCCAAGGAGCAGAGAGGAGCCTGGGCACCCCTCCCCTCACATCACCCTCAATCACTGCAGCGCCGAGACCTTGCATCCATTTGGAAATTAAGTGTATTCCAAATTACAAATGAATGCAAAGAATCCAAAAAAGTCAAGCTCAGCACTGGCTTCACACCTCCTTCTCCAAGAATGGGCCGGAAGTGAAGTGGTCTTTATCTCCTCAGGAGGGCCGGACATCCATCCATTTCCCAACCTCACCTCGCTCGAACCCTGGATAAACCACCCTGCTGCCCAACCCAACCTTCCCCAGGCTTCCTCCTCTCCCGTCAGCACGCCCTGCCCCAGCCCAGGGCAGGCCCAGAGTGCCCACCTTATACAGAGCCGCGGCCTGGGCGTTTGTCCGGTCAGCTGTGAGATCTTCCTCAGTGTTGCCCTCCTTCAGAGCTGGCTTGGGGCCCAGGACCTGGAGGGGCCAGGGCGGGCCAGGTTTCCAGGGATTCCTGGGCACCTGCCCCAGACCTTCCCAGCCCATCATGCCCAAGGCTGCCACGTCTGGGGAGGCACACCGTGTCTTGCACAAGGGCACCCAGCAGAGGCGAGTGAGGGCTGGGTCCAGCCCAGTCCACCTGCCAGGCCACTGGTCCATCCGCCCAGAGGGGCACTTTACTCTGAATCACACGAGGGCACCCTGTGAACTAGCCACAGCCCTAAGCAGTACCCCAGACCACCCACCCGCACCCCCCTCAACCCCCCAGCTCCTCCCGGCTGCCCACCCCAACGTCCCCCAACCTGGATCATCTCGGCGGGCTCTTCCCCATCCGTGACAATCTCCACCTGGGCCTTGCCCTGCCGCTCACTGTCCCGGATGGCCAGGGCCAGGTCCCGGGCCTTGTTGCGCTCCAGGATGTTGGACTTTCCACCACACCAGGCGAAGATGTTCTGGAAGGAAGTGGGGAGGCTCAGCTGCCTGCATCACACCTGTTGAGTGTGTGTGTGTGTGTGTGTGTGTGTGTGTGTGTGTGTTGGGGGAAGGGGCCTGAAGAAGGGCCCCTGGAGGCCAGACCATCTAAGACAACACGACACTCGGCGGGAGTGTTTCCCTGGCCAGCCCCGTGTCCCTCCCGCTTTCTCTCCACAAGGCTCACCCGCATGTACGTGAAGGTCTTTTTTTTTAAAAGATTTTATTTATTTATTTGACAGAGAGAGACACAGCAAGAGAGGGAACACAAGCAGGGGGAGTGGGAGAGGGAGAAGCAGGCCTCTCACTGAGCAGGAAGCCCAATGTGGGGCTCGATCCCAAGACCCTGGGACCATGACCTGAGCTGAAGGTAGTTGCTTAACCGACTGAGCCACCCAGGCCCCCACATGAAGGTCTTTTATCTTGTCTGTAATCTCTCTCTCCCGACTGGAAAGCAAGCTTCATTAGGGCCTGAGCATTTTGTTTTGTGTTGCTCTGCTTTGTTCACAGCCGCGTGCCCAGTACTTCAACAGAGACTGGCACGTATTTAGACACATATCAAGCACTGAATGAATGAATGTACGAGTGAGCAGAGGGGAGAACGGCATCCGTGAGGCCCGCACCTCACACGGCTGCCTGCGCCGCACTGCACCTGTCGGCCCCCTTCCTCTGCCGTGGGCTGCCTCCCGCCTCGAGCCTTCCGCACAAGGCGCCGTCCAGACCCTCCAACAGTCTCGGGACCCAGCTCTCAGGCCCCGCAACAGTTTTTGCTCCCACTGCTCCCGTCCCCACCCAGGGTCCCCGTCAAGCTAGTCCCCTCCTTGCTGCCCGCATGCCTGTCTGCACCTGTCCGCCTCCAGTGCCTCAGCCTCAGCCCCCCTGTGCCTTCACCCGGAAAGGCTTGTCCCCCTCCGAGAAGGTCTAGTCAGAGGGCACCTGCCCGGGGCAGTGGCGCCAGCGCCCGCTAGGGGGAGCCCTGCCGCCCCAGGGCCCCTCAGCACAGGCCCCTATCACATCCTACGGAGCATCGCGGCAGGTGACAGGCCTGTGTTGGCTGCCTCCCCGGGGCAAGCCATTTGTGGTCCCCGAGCTGGCTCAGAGTAGGCACCAGAGACTCACTGAGGGACTGGCTGAGCGGACAAACGAACGAGAGGTCTGGCTGGCCGCGAACTCAGAGCTACCGAGGCTCCAAGGGAGGGAGAGAGTAGGCTGCCGTGTTAGGGACGGTGGCCGGACGGCAGAAGGAGGTTGCCGTCTTTTTGAACGTAAGATGTTTTCCTAAAGGCTGGCGCGGCTCCCCGCCTGCTCCCTGGCCTCGTAAGAGCCGGGTGCCCACGCAGCGCTCAGCCCCGCCCTGCCTGCTCACCTGGCCCAGGTCCAGGATGAAGCAGTCCCCGGTGTTGAAGCTGTCCCAGCTCAGTGCCCGCTCAGTGGCCCGGATGTTCTTCTTCCCCTTCACCTGGTACAGTTTCTTGATGGCAGCTGGAGCGGCCCCTGGGGAGGTCTTGTGAAATGCGGACTCCACTCCGCCTTCCTGCGGCCCAGACCGGCCAACCTTAGCGGGCTGACAGGAGGCCCGCGGCCCTCCGCACCCTGTGCCCGCGGGGGCTGGGCAGAAAGGTGGGGAAGACCCAGGCCTGAGGGCGCCTGGGCCTTCTGCAGGGTGCCAACTGGCTGGAAGGAGGAGTGGCTCCGAGAGAAGCCATGGGGTGAGGGCGCTGGGGCGCGGGCTCTGACCTGGTACTTGAGGCCACGTGGGAAGTAGCTCATGAAGAGGTCGGACTCATTGCCCTGCACCTCTCGGTGTTGCACGGGCCGCTCCCCAAGCAGGGTGTTGAGATGCACGGCCAGCACAGCGCAGGCCCCCTGCTCATCCCGGGAGGACTGCTGGCCTGCGGTGGCGGGGAGGGGCAGCGCGAGGCCCGTGAGACCCATGCCAGCCCCAGCTCCACACCCCAGCTGGTGCCCCAGCCCCCTTACCTATCCACAGGTGCAGGTGGGAGAGCTCCTCCGGACCATTGTGCAGCACGAGGTAGGAGTCCCCCGAGAAGAAGACGCCCTGGTTCTCACGTGCTACGGGCACTGGCTTCAGTTTCTCCACCCGCCAAACATGCAGGCCGGGATCCTGCACCGAGGCTGGGAACGGGGAGCCACTGCAGGAGGGAAGAGGGGGGGCAGTGGGGGCCAGGGCCCACGAGGAGTGGACCCAAGCAGACACCTGGGAGGACCGGGACGGGCGGGGGCCTGTGGTGTGGGGATGAGGGAAGCTGTGAGGAGGGCAGCCCTTGGGGTGAAGAAGGGGAGGGATGAAAGGGAATGGGGCACACAGCCTACCTCTGGGGGAGGCGTGTGTACATGCTGTTTCCAGTTCTGGAAAGAGAGAAGAAGCCATTATGATTACAGATGTTATGACAACCACCCTTCACACAGGTCTGGGGAGGCCCTTCCAGGTGTCAAATGCTATCATATTCATTAACCACTTCATCTCCAAGAGCCCAAGAGGAGATTACCCTGGCTCCATTATGCAGGCAAAGAAACTGAGGCTCAGAAAATCTAAGTCCAAAGCCACAAAGCTTGTGAGTGGCTAGTGAAAACTAGGTTTCTGACTCCTGGGCCAATGCCTTTCTCTTGCTGTGACTTCTCAGCCATACCTCTCTTCTGCTTCCAGACCCCTAACTCGGCCTTACACGAGGCTGACTGACACACAGCTCTTTAAGCATATTAGAAAAGTCAAAAATCAATAACTTAAGTTTCCACCCTAAAAACACCAGAGAAGGAAAAGCAAATTAAGCTCAAAACAATCAGAAGAAAAGAAATAATAAAAATAAGAGCAGAAATTAATAGAAAGAAAAATATATATACAGAGAGAAAATCAATGAAGCTGGTTTTTGAAAAAAAAAAATCAATAAAACTGATGAACCTTTAGACAAACTGATTAGGAAAAAGAAAAGACAAATTTCCAATTCAGTATAAGAGAGATGATTCACTACAGATTCTACAAATACTAAAAGGATAAAGACAATATTACAAAAACTGATGCCAATATATTCAACAAATGGGCAAATTCCTTGAAGGATACAAATAATGAAAGTTCACTCAAGAAAAAAATAGATGACCTGAATAGTTCCAATAGCTATTAAAGAAACTGAATTTGTACTTAACTCCCCCTCCAACTCCAAGTCATGGTACATTCTTTTTAAATTTTATTTTCTTAGATTATTTATTTATTGAGAAAGAGAGAGCATGAGTGGGGGGCGTGCAGAGGGAAAGGGAGAAACGGCTCCTTACTGACCAGGGAGCCCCACCTGGGGCTCAATCCCAGGACCCTGAGATCACAACCAGAACTGAAATCAAGAGTTGGATGCTCAACTGACTAAGCCACCCAGGTGACCCCCAAGTCATGGTACATTCTACCAAAAATTTAAGGAAGACATAGTACCAATTCTATGCAAACTTTTCCAGAAAATAGAAGAGAACAGCTCCCAATTCATTCTATGTCACCAGCATTATCCTGATATAACAAACCAGATAAATATATTATAGAAAAGAAAATTAGGGTGCACCTGGGTGGCTCAGTCAGCTGAATGTCTGACTCTTGATTTTGGCTCAGGTCAGGAGTCTGCTTGGGATTCTCTCTCTCCCTCTCCCTTTGCCCCTCCCCACCATGCTCACTCTCTCTTATTCTCATAAATAAACAAATAAATAAATAAAATCTTTTTAAAAATTAGGCCAACATCCCTTATGAACATAGACACAAAAAATATTATCAAAATTTTAGCTTATGGAATTCAATATATAAAAAGGATAAAACACTAAATGGCATTTAACCCAAGAATGCAAAGTTAAACATCTGAAAATCAATCAACGTAATCCACCTTATTTCTTTCTAAGTCAGCATGACTGTACATAAACTTTGTTTAAACCAAAATCCTGATTTATGTCGCACCAAACATACATTGTACATGTGCCTTTTAAATGAGTAGCCTGAAGGAAGCCATCTTGTTCTTAAGATATTGACCAATGCTCCTACTTCTTGCATTCCTTGACGTTGAAACTCATGGTTCCTACTTATATGCTAATCTATAATCTCTGGAGCTTTTGCAAGATGTAGCAAAGTATATAACCTTGTAAAAACTGTCTATTCTCTGGAGAACATTCTTCCCTGTGAAGAGCATGTTTCCCGGGCAACTGTCCTAACTTGGGCTCAAATAAAACTCTCTTTCTTTCTTTTAGAGATTCTAAAAGGTTTGTTCATTTTGCATCAACTATATATATTGCATTGACAATATATGTGTGTATATACATATATAACCATCTCAATAGATGCAGAAAAAGCATTTACTAAAATTCTACATCCGTTCCTGACTAAAAAAAAACTTTCGGCAAACTAGCAATAGAAGGGAACTTCCTCAAACTAATAAAAGGTACCTACCAAAAACAAACACAGAAACACAAAATCCCTAAAGCTAACATTACACTTAGTGCCTTCCCTAATTCTAAACTCCCGATTCCCAGGCATCAACAATCACTTGCGTATGACCAGCTCTCCTCAAATGCCTCTGTAGGGGACAATCGCAGGCACCCCAAGATAGGCCACTTTGGCATGAACATTATTTTGACTTAAAAGCAATCAAAACCCAACTGGTTCAGTAAAAGTGGTTTACCGCCCCTTTAACTGCCTACTTATACTAGGAAGAGAGCTCTTAACAGATTCCTCTTTACCTAAGAAACTTCCCTGTATAATGGGGCGACCTTTGTTTTCCAAGCATCTCCTCTCACCTTCCTGCTGATGGTCTTTCTCCCCTTTGTATCCTCAGACCCTACCCCTCTCCTTAGCTCCTATTAAGAGTCTTGTTGCTTCACTGTCTTTGGAATTTCCATGTCTGTGTGGATTCCCCATATGTATGCTATTAAATTTAATTTTCTCCTGTTAATCCGTCTCCTGTCAATTTGATTCTAAGTCCAGCAAGAAGGACCTGGAGGGGCAGGGGAGTTTTTCCTCCCCCACACCTCAAACGTCATGTTATTCTATAGGCCACCAGTGAAAGCAACCTTTTTTGGACAAGTTACTCAGGGGGAAAATGGTCAAGGCAAGTATTTAAAAAAAAAATATATATATATATATATTTTTTTAAAGATTTTATTTATTTGACAGAGAGAGAGATAGCGAGAGCAGGAACACAAGCAGGGGGAGTGGAAGAGGGAGAAGCGGGCTTCCCGCGGAGCAGGGAGCCCGATGCGGGGCTCGATCCCAGGACCCCGGGATCATGACCTGAGCCGAAGGCAGACGCTCAGCGACTGAGCCACCCAGGCGCCCAAAATATATATATTTTTAAAAAATTCAGCAAATGCAGTAGCTACAGCTTCACTCACCATCTCTTTCCTCTGTGCCGATTACTACACAGCTTCTTCTTTTTTTTTTTTTTTTGGCTTAAAATGCACAGCTCACACACTAGCAAGCACTGTAACACAGTTCACGCTGGGCAGGTGAAGGGCATTTTTGTAAGGTGAGCCTCTGTGACTCAGAGCAGGGGCCTGGGGAATTTCAGGGTGAAGAGGCAAACTGGCACCATGGGGAGCTTCTTGGGGACCGGGGAAGCAGGAAGGGCGAAGGGCCATCTTTAGGGGATGGGCGGAAGAGCAGAGGGTCTTGGGTCTGAGCAGAAAGCGGAGGGAAAAACAGGAGCAGTGGTTACGGATGTCAAATACCACGGGAATCATGACTTCTTTTCCATTCCTAGCTCACAACAGAGCTGAAGGCATTTTTGGGAACCACTCTTTCCCAAAGCAGGAAGTGGTGAGGGGGAAGCTTGGCGGAGGGAAACTTTAATGTTCCTCCATTCCACAGAAGGTCACACGCTTGCCCACATCCGCTGCCACAGGCTACTTACTCAGCCTGTGACTCAGGTCTGAAATGGCGAGGCGGCTGCCCTATGCCCAAGCCAGCGGAGAGATGGTGTGAACAAGAGGGTCAGTTGTTAGCTTTACTGTTTCTCCTTCTGTGTTCCCGATCTGGGAGCTCAGGCCATAACTCAGAAGCAGGCAGCCCCCTCTTGGGACTACAGGTCTCTGGGAGCCACTGCAGGGTTTTGATGAAAGGGGTTTGGCCACCTGCTTCTTCATCATCCTGGCTGCCTGGTAAAATTAGCTTGGGATCTTATAAAACGCAGAGGCCCCAGCCCCAGGCCTGGAGATTTTGATCACAGAGGCGTGGAGTGGGGCCTGTGCATCTGCATTTTGAACATATGTTCCAGTGGATTCTCTGCTGCCAGTTAACTGTCCAGAATGGCATCTCACACCTGCCTTACATCAGAATCATCAAACTCAAAAAAAATCCCAATGTCCAGGCCACACACCAGAACAGTTAAAATCAGAGTTCTGGGGGTGGAGCCTGGATAGCGTGTGTGAGAAGTCCCAGGCGACTCTAAAACTCAGGTCAGGGCGGAAACCCTTGCTGTCCCATCAGGTCCCTGCCCCTTGGCCTTCTGCTCCAGGTTCTGCTCCAGGGGCTACCTGACACCTCTCCCTTCCAGCTGCTCTGCCCAAGCCCACAGCAGCGTGAGCTTTCTCAGCGTGCACGCCCACCCTCAAGTCCAGTATGCACCCTCCAGGCTCAGACCAAACCCCAGCTGTCCAAGGAGCCTGCCAGGGCATTTGGTAGCCTCAGCCTTTTCTGGGAGTGCTCCTGGCCCTCTCACTCGGGAGCAGACACCTCAGTCTCTACTTGCAGGTGGTCTATTAGGATGACCTGACAGCTTCATGTCTCAGCCAGAGCCACAGACTTGCCTGACACTCCTGCGTTCCTCTAGCAGCCCACGCCAGGCTCTATGCAATTCCATACAAAGTCTACGCTGGGAGCTTGGCACTGGGCAGAGTGATGGTGGGGGCAAAGAAATGAGAAAGAACAACCCATGTCTCGTGGTCTAACTGGAGGAGGCAGAGAAGGAGGGAGCCATCACACCCAGTGGGGCCAAAGACAAACTTCCCCTAGGTGGGGAATGTCACAGAATCACAGATGTCAGCGTTAGAAGGAGTCTAAATACTTATCTAAATCTGCTCCGCATCTGCCTCCCAACACATGCCCATACGCACACAGTGCAGGAATCCCTTCTATAGCATCCCTCACCATCCTCCTCTTGAACACTTCTGGTGATGGGGAACTCACCACCTCCCAAGACAGCCTCTTCCATACATACCTCTTACATTAAAACCGTTGCTTCTTCCCACTCTGCCACAGTACTCGGAGTTATGGATCTGCCCCCTCCCCTACTAGACTATAAAGGCCTATTGGGCGGGGACTGTATTTTGTCTCTCTGGACCTAGCTGGAACCTGAAGGGGAGCAAAATATACCACCCCGAAATAAGCCTCT